GCTTCTGGTGTCGCACGGTCGAGCAGCAACTTGCGTATGTGCGAAATCTTCCCAAACTGTATCGAGGCAGGGGCTTCCAGTACGTCACGAGCTTACAGTGGCTACCGTGTCAGTTACTGTTGAGGACACCACGTCGAGGCAGAGGACTGCGCCGAGTTACGCAGAAGCAGTGTCTTCCGTACGTCAGGTTGGAATCCGCTTCGTGTTTCTGTGTCGCTACGACGCAGACGGCTCCGTGCGCGTCATCACTCCGTTGTTCCGTTTAGTTCTTTAACGCCGGCACTGCTTCGTGAGACCATTGATGTCGTTTGCTAGACTGGTGTTAGTCCATCCAGCCATTCGTTTCAAGTCGCGAGCCCGCTTCGTGACACGTCTGGAATCACGCAGTTCCCAGAGCTTCCCTCGGAGAAGATGCTGCGTGATTCGAAGGGGGAAGATATCAAACAACTTTGTGTAATAGTTTAAGCTCCGGCACTCCCAATTCACGAGCGTCCGGAAGTAATGAAACAGAAGTCCGATCGCGAGGAGCGATTTGAGGCTCAATCGTGGGAAGTACTCGATGCGTCGAGAACCGTGTTTCTGATTCGCACGCGAATTCTCTATATAGACTTTGTAACAGCTTACAAAACCGACCAGAACCATCAGCAAAGTAATCGGGCTGTTACATATAAAAGTCTACATCAATAAGAGGCCCATTCATAAATGTTGTCACAAAATCAATTTGGCAATAATGCAGGCCCATGAACCGAGCTAGAAGCAAAACAAATTTCACTGACTCAACCTCTGCTACTGGAGCGTAGGTTCTCCAAAAGTTGATTCAAAATCTTGCTGACATCCCTTAATCGTAATTCGCGTGCGATACCGGCCTACGTCACCTTGCGCATTTCGTTTTTGCACAAAAACCCACTTATTTTCTAAATGCTTTACTCCATAAGGCCGATCTACTAGCTCCCATACGTGATTTCGCATTAATTTGTGATACTCAGTCAAAAGAGAGTTCATCCATGGCTTGGCATCCGGGGTACTTAAAGCCTCAGTAACTGACATGGAATAAAGCAGTTCATTCACTGCTTGAATTAGTAAATCTGAAAAAATAATCAGTTTATAATCCGACATTCGTACATTTGGTCGTCGTACTCGAGTAGACCGCCTTAAAGCTGCCTCAGGATCAATTTTAGCTTTCATTTCACCTGGTCAAACAACTGCAACTGATCTTTCTTCTTCTTCATCTACACCATTCCAGCGGTTCTTTTCGCCTACATAGGTGTGCGACACGAGATAAATCTCGTTCCTGAGTCGAAGCATTGCGTGACACGTACAAATTATTGCGATTGACGCCTAATTTGAAGGGCGTTGCATTCTGGCCATATGCGCGAGAATTCAGTTTGTTAAAGTAGTGAACATATCGCCACACTTGAGTCCACCTTCTGTGTCCAGAAGGCGACGAGTGGATGGCGTATGGTTCACGACTTTAACCAACTAAACGATACGGAAATTCTAGCGCAGACACCAATTCCACGATAGAAATGTTTTTTTGAATTTATATTGGGAAGCACGATTTTTTTGTCCTTAGATCTGACGGACGACTTTTACAAAATCCTGATGTTTGTAGAGGATGTTCCGCTTACCGCCGTCAGCACGCCTAGCGGCATGTTGTGGGAGTAACCTCAGGGCTCAAAAATGCCTCTGCTACGTTTAGTCGTATTATGTCTCACTTCTTCGCCCAATTCGCGATTTTGCGCCGAGCTACTTCGACGATATCTTCGTCCACCTTCGCGCCACTGAGGGCGCGACAAAACTGTATGTTTATCGTTAAGTGTTTATAGTAATGCTCGAATACAAACTATAGTCGAACCTGAAGAAATGCATCTTTTGTGCCCCTGATATTCCCGTGTTGGGCAGCTATGAAAGCGCAAAAGGTGTTCGCGCTGATCCGGAAAAGTTTCGGCGATTAGCTCCTGATCAATCCCAACGGACCAGAAGCATCTCCGTCAATGGTCGGGCTTGGCCAAATTCCTTCATCAATTCGCAAAGGACTTTGCGCCGTTAATTTATCCGCTGTCACAACTGCTAAAGAAGGACGCCATATGGATATGGAGCCAGGAGCACCAGTATGCATTTGACGAGATTAAGACGAGACTATCATTAGCGCCAATATTAGCGTTGCCTAGTTATAATACTCCGTTTAATGTTGTCTGCGATGAGAGAGACTCCGCCATAGGATGTGCGTTAATGCAGCATGACGATAATGGTAACGTACGTACCAATCTCGGCAAATAAAATCTTTCGAGCGCAATTATCCAGTTCACTACAAGGAGCGATTGCGACGCGCTACGCACTCGTGGAATTTCGCGTTTAGTTGCTTGGAGCGCCAATTTTAATCATCTACACCGATCATGCATTTCTACAGAACGCGACTAAGAGGCCGCATCTCAGCCAGCGCATGGCGCGCTGGTTGTAATTTTGCGCTGAGTACAAATTTGTGGTATATTACAAGCCTAATTTTACAATCATTAGTACAGATGCTTTATCGCGGAGACCCGACTATTATCCCCGCGAAGGTACATCTGCTGTAGCCACGACGTACGCAAAGACGACGATTGTAACGCGTGCGCGACGCTTGAAATTAGTACCACGGCTGTGTCCGCGGTCAATTGTTGCATGATGACATCGCAGAGGCGTACTTACGTAATGTGTTCTACTCACCGATCGTCCGCTACTGTAGAGATCCTTCTGACGAATCGTTGCGCTTGGTCTCAGCATCCACTCGCACTCACATTGCGCGGTACTTCTGCGATGGAAAGTTGCTCATGTATTAAATTGATATGTTTGACACTCCTCGTATCGTCATCCCACTTGACGAAGAATTTCGTGCTCGTGCTCTCCACGAGCACCACGATAGCGTTACAAGCGGCCATCTGGGTCGCGAGAAGACGTACCTCGCGTTGTCTCGGAGATTCTATTGGCCTACATGTATAAAAGTGGGTCCGCAACTGGGTTTGAATCTGAGAGGTGTGCAAGCGTGTTGAGTCTGCCCCGTCGGCACATGCCCCGCTTTGCCCTCTATCGATATCCACGGGTCTTTAAAATTCCGTGAGTATGGACTTCTTTTTGGATTACCGGCCGATGCGCAGGGGCGCACAGGAATATTAGTCATCATGAATAGGTTTAGTAAGATGGTGCATCTCTCACCTGCCGCTGCTTCCATCAAGGCCAACGATACCGCGGCTTTCTTCGTAAACATGGTCTTCAAACATCATGTCATGCTCGTCACGATTGTCTCCAATCACGATGCCCGATTTACGGTCACGTGTTGGTCTCGCCTGTTCGAGATTCTCGGTACTCGTCTGATGATGTCTACCACCGCGCACCCTGAAACTTATGGATATACTGAGTGAGTCAATCGCGTGTATTAGGACTTTTACTCAGTTACGCCACCTCTTTCACGTCATGGAGAAAGCTCCTCTCCTTGACTGAGTTCGCGATGAAAAATGCTGTTCATGCTTCGACTGGTTTATCCCCTATTTGTAAATAATGCCCGCCATCCGCGCGTCCCGGCTCTTCATGGCTTGGCCGATTCTTCTTCTCTTGTTGGAAGAGGGACGCCGGATGTCTCATTGTCACTGAGGTCCTCGAGAAGAGACATACCCGAATCGCTGCATGCGGTTCAAACGCGTTCCAAGTCACAAAACATTTCCTTTCCGGCTAGCGTAGCACAGTCTCCAATGGGAGTCCGTCTGTCAAAATCTACGTTGATTGACGAATTTGTGACGCATCGTAAATTTTTCGCTCGATTTGTGATCGACATGCGGTCGATATGCAGTAGGTGTAATGAATTTACACGACGGTTGTAGCGTCTTTCCGAGAGTTTACGGTTGAAGTCCCCTTGTATTGCATATAATGCATTTTGATACTTCTCTTTAGAAAGGTATTAAGTATAAGCGTTAAAGATACGGTATTCGGTAATACCGTATCTTATCGATTAGGATTCGATTATCGATAACGCTGTACTAAGTACATCATACACAGATGTTTAGACGACACGTCGTCCAATAGCAAAAGTATGCATATAATAATTACTATTATAGTAATTAATCTAGTGTAGTGTACTTAAAGTAGGACTATTCATAAAATCTTAAAGCATAAATAAAATCAGTTCTCCTTTTGAGTTTAAGATCGCAAGTCGTTCTGACTTGTTCTCTTGTGCACTTCGTGCGTTGATTCTCTGAACCTTTAAGCTTCTAGCTTCTTCTTGCACTCTGTGCGTTGGTTTTCTGAAACTTAAGCTTATTGCTTGCTGACTAAAAGTCTCTCCTACTTCCTTAGAACAGGGTGACTTTAAAGTCGTTTAATTAGTTCCTTAGAACTAAGTGGCTTTTAGCCTTAACTTTATTTAGTTCTCTAGAACTAAGAGGCTTCCAGCCTAAAGTCTTCTTCTGGCTAAAGAGCTGTGCAGCTCCGCTACAGTAGGCGTCCGCAGATCAGCGCGGAAGCAAGAAAAAAATATGAAAAGTAAAAGGTTAACGACGAGCTGTAACCAATTCTTCCGCGCGCAGTGAATGTGATGTAGTAAATTCAAGACTGATTTAAATGTAAGAAAACTAGATATTAATTTGACACATATAATTGGCACCGAATTTATTACACTTTCGGATACGCGTCTCTTTAGAAGCGCATCGCTACGTAGCGAGCTTATATTTATTTATGCTCACTGATGACGTCCTTCAAAGACGTCACGATGACGCCTAGCTTCAACTAGCGTCATCCCCTCCAATGCAAATGCCACTAAGACATATCACATACACGAGGGTAGGCCACATTAGTATGCCGCACCCAAGTGGCAGGTCTTACGTGCTTATATATCTTTTAAAACCTCACCGTTAAGTACAGCATACTTAACGGGTACGTGTAACGTTTGACCCGTTACAAAAAAGTGCTTGGTTACCAAAAGCAGGATCCAGTCTAAATCGACGAATATCGATAAGAACGTTCTTATCGTCTTAAATGACTGAAGACGCTAGCGGTGGGCTGCTCTGGACTGGTTGGGCTGCTCTGGACTGATTGGCTTCGTTACTGTCCTGTTGCTGATCTTCTCTAGGACGACGCTCTTGTGACTGCCACCGCTGAACGAGGTTGTGCACGTCTTTCATTAAAATAAGTTGTTGGGGCGATCGCTCTTTGAAAAACTCAAACACACGACGACGTGTAGCTCCATCTCGCCAAAGCTTCTCGGCTTGTGCAAGCACTTCAGGGTCGCGTACACGTCGCACCTCGGAATATTGTAGGTAAAGACCTTCCGAGAGTTCATGATTGTGCTCTACCAAATGCTTAGTGACAACGACGCTCCATTTGCTTGAACCATCAGTACGCTGCAGCGTTGCACATATTTTCGCGGGGCACTCGGTGGCCCGAACAATGTGGCTAACACGCTGACCGCTGCCGCGACTGCGACGCTTCCAACCGTGTGTGCACAAGAACGTCTTCGAGTACCATTCATATTGTTCGGGTACCAGGTGTGCCCGAGACAGCCCATTCATACCTTCTTGCTCCGTCTCCTCTGAAACTCGTGTATCGTCATTCTCACTTTCGCGCACAAGAAGTCCTCGACTTGCAGCTAATTGACGAAGGCGAACGTTGCGCGATCGCACCGAGTACGTTGTACGAACACGGTAGAGCTGGAATGTTGCAGCTGAATATGCGTCCAAATATTTGTGAAAGTCTTCCCAAGAGGAATACCGCCGTACGATGCGTGGCACACGCCAAATCATTTCTCCCTTTTCAAGCGTCACCTTTTCATTCTCAGCATGTGAGGAAAGTTGCCAGACTCCGTCCATGTCTTCGGCGTGCAACATCGCCTCATCATCAGCATCAAAACTGGTTTGAGTAGGGGCTAATGCCTCGCTAGCAGGGACAACCGTAACGTAGGTACCACCACCAGCAATCCGGAAGCAAGTGCATTGTGCTGCTCGAGTAACAGCTGAGTCAGATTCGTTAGTCTTCGACGCAAGCGCGTCTGGGTTTATACCTGGTTTGCTAGTAGCCAAGTTAGCTCGGGCCAATGATCCGTGAACACGACACGTAACAGATATCACGTTTGAACCCATAGGAGGAATACCACCCGTGATTACCGCTCCTGCGTTGTTGAGCACCACGAAGTTGGACGAGTTTATTTCTGGCGTTGCCATGACGGTCAAGGCCACCGCACTTTCACCTCCTCGCCCGAGGTGGGTTTCTGTAGAACCACCGCTAAGTGGTGCCATCGTTTGCTTTTGATATCCTTGCTGCTGCTGGCGATCCTGATCTTGACCTCGAGCTGGTAGGTATGAGGTTGTAGAGTTGTACGAATCCAGCACAACCGGCGGCGCAGATTGTTGTGCTACATCAGCTACAGTTTGCATTCCAGTCACAGTTTGTTTTACATTGGGTGCTCCACTGACTCCGACTGGATGAATATTGACAGAAGATCCGAATAACTGAACATGGTTTACAGCTTCTGCTAGCCCCGTCTCTCGGTCTGTTGAAAGCACGTGAGACTGAGAAGCCGTTTGACCTCCAACGCACATGTCAGAAGCTAAGGTGCCTTGATCACCAAGAATCTGATAGACCTTACGCTGAACCAGAGGACTATTACTCGACGTGTCAATCGCAAGTAGTTCTGGGTCGTAAATTCGACGGTTCTCACAGTAGTGTTGATACAGTTCCCGTGATAGATTATGGTTGTGGTCCACGATATGCTTCGTGATCACAACTCGCCAGCAACTGTCAGGAGCGACGACGCAGCTACCTTCAGTCGAGTCAGAGACATCTAGTCGTGAGGGTGGGTTCATATATTGCACAGTGGCACAAATCTTCACAGGGCACGCTGTTGAGCGCACACCATGCGCAGAGCGCTTGCCTGCGCCACGATGCCGCTCCTTCCAGCCATGTGTGCACGTCAGGGTTTTAGAGTACCATCTCCACGGTTCAGGAATCATGCGCGCAAATTTTACTCCATTCAAAAGAGCCTCATGTTCCCTTCCATTTTCACTGTTCTTGTCGTTCTCGTCTTCGCCACCATCACGTTTCATTTGTGCAATTTTTTTGTTCCTTCCCTTCGCTGAGCTTGTCGTTCTCGTGCGATAAAGCTGGTATGTAGCATCGGAGTAAGCTTTAAGACTTGTGTGAAAGTCATCCCAAGAGTTAAAGACGGACTGGAGCTTCGGAACGCGGACAACGATTTCACGATGGTACATGGACTGTGTGGCTGTATCGTTGACGCTGGTTTCGGTGTTTGTTCCCGTCTCAAAAGTAGTTACACTCTCTCCAATCAAACATCGCTGCAAAGAATTTGAGTCCACATTTGACGCAGACGCAATTGAGCCAGTGGTATCATTAACAGAGTTGATTACCTCTTGACTGCTTCCACCAGTCTCTTCAACGATACCATTTAATCGGTGGTTGTGCTTTTGCACTTGACGATTAATCACAATGTACCAATCACCATCTACATTGCGCTCCATCCGAGCAAGTAACATAGCTGGGCATGGACTTCCATCAATGTATTCGTCAATGCGAGATCCTTTGCCTCGTGCTCTTCGTTTCCAGCCAAAAGTACAAATTAATAGCTTGGAAAACCACTTGTACTCTTCTGGGATTAGGCGTGAAGAAGGTAATACCGCAGCATAACTTGCGTAGCTTGCAACATCGTGGTCGTTCTGTCCTAATTTTGCTGCAGCGGATGCTGCAACTTTTGCGTTTCTTGCGGCTACCGACACAGTTGACCGTGTACGGAAAACTTGCGCTGTGTCAAATGAATACTGTGCGATGAAGTCGTGGAAAGCGTCCCAAGAAGCATGCACCTTCACCGATACTCGTGGCACACAAAATCCTCCACCATCTATCGCTTCTGAAAGAATTGTTCCTGGTTTCAAGACCATAGCCCCCAGCGGTGGCATGGCAGCCAAAGAGCTTCCTTTTTTGATGCATGGCCGGAATGCACAATCACCACGGTTAGCCCCAGAAAGTGCCACGGGGTCGTTGCGCGTGCGGTCCTCGTTAGCATGTCCGTGAGGGTGAGAAGATAATGAAGCCGACGAGTCGGACATCATAAACGCCATCGAAGAAGCCTGCTGTTGGCTTTGCTCATCGCTGGCCGGAAGTATGCGAGACTGCCTAGTCCGCTGATTTTCCTGCTCGATCGACGATACAAGAGAACCGTTAGAGGGTTTCGCAACTCCTAGTGTCTCTCCTACAACCACGAGCAACTCCGGGTCATATATACGCCTATTCTCCGTGTAATACAGATACAACTCCTTCGATAATTGGTGGTTATGAGTCCGCACATGCTTGGTCACAACAACTTTCCAGTCGTCGGGTCCAGGTCCTTGGTGTTGCAGAGTCACACACATCTTTGCAGGGCAGCTTGTTGACCGTACGACTCCAGATCCTCGTTTACCAGTGCTTCGATGACGATCTTTCCATCCGTGCGTACACTTGAGCGACTTGGAGTACCATAAAAACCGTTCCGGAATCAACGTCCTCTCCACGATACGTCCCCCCACATCTACCTCATGCTCCATCAATACTCCCAGCTCCACCTCCGCCACATTGGCAGCAACAGTATCTCCTTTCATTCCACTTTCAATAATCTTGAAATTCCGTCGCCTGACTGACGTCGTGGAACGAATCACATACAATTGATATGTTGCCTTCCCATAGATTTTTAAAGCTTTGTCAAATGTCTCCCATGAATCATGAAGCACTCGAAACTCGGGTGCGACCACTAAAAGCCCATCTAACGACGTGTTGACGCTAGTTTTGTTCTCCAGTGTCCCATTCGACACTGCATCAGTCTGAAGAATATCCACCTCCGATTGTGTCTCTGATACTGTTGTTATCTCTGCAATTGCAGCGCTTGTATCCACTGCGACTGGTGCAATATCAGTGACTGTAGGTAATGCAGCAGCTTCTTGAGGTACATGCAGTTCATGGTCTCCGTTATCGTTATTGTTAACAGTCTCATTGGTCTCATTAACCCTGCGCTTAGTAGAGACTGCGTCGTCTGTAAAAGACGTCGACCGTCTTCGTTTATTCACCATTTAATCTGTCTTATTAAAGGCAATAGGAAGTTAGGACGACTCATTGTGCACTGAATGAATTTCTGATTGTACCTCGTTTCCAGGCAAATTCGGTGCCAGAGTTTGAGCCAAGTGTTTTCTTAACTGTGCGACTTGTAGGATTGTGTGGCGCGTGAGCGCTGGAACCACAAAAAATGCCAAAGGAAACTGTGAAATGGCATAGTATACCAGGTTAGAGAACCTTTTACAAATTATACTGAAACGACACGGCGGATATGCAGCTGTTGACATGCATTATATCGTGGCCATGCTACTCACTATGTCTTTATATTATTGTACATTAGATCCATCTCATTCAACTTGTATTAATATGGGTAATAATAGACACACATTGGACTCACAATCCTCTTGTTCTTCTTGACACTTGTAGCCCACCAAAAAATATTCCCTGGCAGAGACTAGCATCGAAACTTTAACTTGTTTTTTCTTAAAATATAGTCTGGACTATTTTCAGCGCAATTACTATATTATTAAAAGAGGGTATTTGGTGTCAATTTTGTGTACAACGAAAAGGAGGCACAATCAAAACGCAATGTCTGCTCATACGTCGACGAAAAATGTGTGCGTGAACCAAAATTTGAGATGCTCAGAGTGCGACCTTATGGACCGCACGACACGCGGATATCAAGTGCGTGTCTGTGCCGGGTGTGAGCTTGCTGTCCATGAAAAGTGCTACGCTATTGCATCACTGGCTACAGAGGAGGAAGTGCAAAGCAGTGGGATAGAAAAGGAAAACGAAGACATGAAGAGTTCTGAATGGTTGTGTGATTGCTGCCGACGAGGAGTTCAACGACAGATGATCAAGTGTGTGTACTGTGAGAAAACGGCAGGTGTTACAGCTTTTAAAGTCGTCGATACTGGTGACGCTGCTTTTTGGAGTCTATTTGCTGGATTTCAAGACGAGAAAAAGCCTACAATTGAAAACGAGGTGCAATTTGGACATGTGCTTTGTATCAAGTGGGACCCACGTCGATTGGCTGCGCACACTATCAAAGAAAGCAAGATTCAAGCTGCTATGATGGTGTCGAAGAAGGACCTTGTCAAAAAATCTGCAGAGAAAACAGTGACAGAGGGGGGTATAAGTGAAGGAATGGAGCAGACGGACGAACCGTTTGTGGAGAAAGTTGACGAGGCCATGCCAGACGTAAATGAGGTGCTGCTGAGAAATCTGTTTCCTCCTGGTGAATGCTGCTTTTGCCATTCGAGTGGTGGCGTTCGGATACAGTGTCGCCGAGTGAACTGCGCGCGCGATTTTCACGCCATGTGCGCGCACCAAGGAAGTGGTCACGTGGAGCTGCGAACTGATCATTTCTTGCAGTTTCATGCGTACTGCGACCGTCATCGAGACTGCACTGAAGACATTGGCGACCTATTGGCAAAATTAATTACGCGCCCCATACGGTTGCTTGTAGGTCGCGATGACATGCGCCGATTTGGTACAATTGCAAAACATTTACTAAATTACGTCAGCGCTGCTGCTGTGATGCACGATTTGGCAGCCTTGATAGTTGGATACTGCAATAAGGGTCTGCGTGCCAGCAAGAATGAGCCGCCTGATTATAACGTGAAGCACCTACAGGTACTTCAGTTCTTCTTGAGCCACGTGCCACAGCTTGAAAAAGTATACGCACTACCATCGACGCCTATACAAGATCTCGTTAATGACACGAAGCTATTTCGTCGTCTCGAAAGGACGTTCGATCCACTGAGATACGTGGCCACGTATCCTGGCCCACTCAGTCAGCAGTACACTTGTAATGTGTGCCTGGACCCTTTTCACGAGCGACAACACGTTTTTTACTGTTGTAGAGAAGACAAATCTGCGATCCCGCATGTTCAGCACTGGAGATGTACGAAGCGTCTATCAAATGCTCGAGAGCGTGAAAGGTATCTTCCAGTAACAGGAAACACGAAAAAAAAGAAACGAAAAACGATTACAATTGTGCAGAATGGCGTACGAAAGGATATTGCGCTACCCAAGGGCCTCTCGAGTATGACAGATGATGTTATTTGCGGTGTATGTCGTGCCCCAATTGATGCGCGTGGTCTCATCGCATCCTGTAAGAAAGCAAAAAGTTTGGATTTCGAGAAGAAGGAAAGCAAATTTGTTCAGAGCGGTTGCTACATCAACTCTGTTGGTGCCAAAGGATTCTCTTATGGATATAATGCGTCATCTCGCAAACCGGCGAGACCGACTGATGGTAAATGTAATGGCAGCTCGACAGTACAGCACGCAGTGGCTCAACAAACCTTGGGACCTCCGAAGATGGAACGGATTAATGTTCAGCGCACGACGAGGTGGCTTGCTTGCGTGGCTCAAATCATACGCCTTATTGGGGCTCCAGCTCCCGCAGCTTCGGCAGAGGTGATTAAGGCCCCTTCACGCTCAAGCAATCTTGCTACGATTGAATCCCTGAACAATGGTGCTGCCACGTCCGCTATTACTGCAGCGTCAGCTTTCAATCGTGCGACTGACTCAATTGGAGCTGTTGAGACCAAGTCATCATCGTGTACACCAACGCCTGGTAGCTCTGTGATTGAAAAAGCTACGCGTGAGGACAAGGATTCATCGGAGATTATGTCGATAGTCGGAAGATCTCTGTCACCTGCTACTATCAGCGCCACCACGTCGTCAACTACGCCGTTGCCAAAATCAATAGCAAAGGTAACACCATCCCTCGTGACGCCAGCTGTACAAGGACTTTTTAACGAAGTGATACGTCTCGTACGCCCGTATGATTCGTACGCGCTTAGCAAGTTGGAGACTGCGTACGATATGCTCCTTCACCGAAGTGGACCTGGTGTCGCTGTGTTGCGTATGTTCACGCACGAATACACTCGTTTTGTGTATATTAAGCACACGCGTGCCGTGGAAAAGGCACGCCATGAGAAACGTAAACGTGCAGAGCACGAAGCACAGGAGATTCGCGAAAAAGAACGCAATCGCATGAGCCTCGAGACAGAGCGAGCGCTCAAGAACCAAATGCTGGCAATGCGCAACAAACAGCGACAACATCTCAAGGCCTCGTCGTTAAAGTAATTAGACAAAGAGTTCACGACAATTATTTGTTAATCAATTACAAGGATGTGATCCTGCTCGTGAATTGGCGTCATCTTTACAGCTTCAAAGACTGTAGCTCAGTCGTCTTCGAACTCGCTGTCTGAGTCAGAGGCATTACCGTCCGTAATGTCCATACCCTGTGCGATCTCCTTCTTCATGACGGCACTGACCTCAAAGCAGCCTTCACACACGCTCTGAATGGCGGATTTAGCGTGTGTGTAGGCCATTTTAAAGCCTGGATGCGAATTCTGTGGTATCCACGTCACAAAAAAGAGCTTACTGGACTTACGACCATCAGCCGTCACGAACTCGTGGTCGTAAACAGCGTAACGACAGTCCGAGTCGGGTAAAGAGGCATTAAAGTCTGCAAATGTAGCAGAAGACGACGCCGTCGTGTCCACAATCACCTTATCAGCTTCAATACGGAAGAGAATGTAACGGTACTTGCGTCGCATCTTGAGCTGTTTAAACTCATCCATTACAGCATCTGTGGGAGTGATGGCATTAGCTGGTACGTCATCCTGGTGCCGAATGTATTGCGCCACGCCCGCCGTCTTCATGTGAGGTTCTGCCATAATGCTACTGTAATGGATAATGATGATGATACAAACAGGTGCTACTTAGGGGGGGCTATTATTTCAGGCTACTGACGCTACTGTGTCACCAAATGCTGCGTTGCGTCACCGACAGCTACTATATGTGTCACAGAAAATAAAACCCGACTGGACATGGCTACATGTATAGCATGTTGTTAAATGAAATCTTAAGCGAGCTTAACGAACCAAAAGCCCGCTTATATATGTTGTATGGCTGGTTTAACTGGTGTAGATAATTGGTCAGCAAAAGCCGCAATCGCCTTTGGATCCCCAGTTAAGTTTCCCCCCTTCCCAAGGTACGACTGCATTGTAATAGACGAAAATCTGATGGTGTAGATGCATTAATAGCAGTTGAAAACGCAACACTACATGTTGCAGATTACTCAATCTATCTCACCGTCAGAATCTTCATTGTATAGCTGGATATCACCATCTTGTTAATCCAATATCAAACTAATACCAATTGAATTCTTGTCAAATTGTATATAGGTTCGTTCTCGACACTTGTTTACAATGGCTGAAGAGGAGCATGATTTCGAGTTTCACTCGACCGATGCTGGTGCTTCGGCCACGTATCCCAGTGAAGCTGGTCAGATCCGCAAAGGCGGCTTTATCATGATCAAGGGCCACCCATGCAAAGTGGTGAATGTGTCGACCTCAAAGACGGGCAAACACGGCCACGCCAAGTGCAATTTTACAGCTCTCGACATCTTTACGAACAAGAAGTACGAGGACATTGTGCCTTCTACCCACACCACGTCGGTCCCCTTTGTGTCTCGTGCTGAATACACGCTGCTCGACATTACGGACGATGACTTCTGCTCGCTCATGGACGACTCTGGTGACACCCGTGAGGACATCAAGTTGCCGACTTTCCCGGACACGTTCGCTGACGAGATTCGTGCGGACTTTGATGACGGCAAGCAGCTGGTGCTTACGGTCCTGAAGGCCTGTGGCACTGAGCAGATTATTGCCAAGAAAGAGGACCTGTCGTAAACATTTAGTAAAGGTTCATCCTGCCGATTTGTCTTTGTGTGACGCTGTCTGGCGGGGGGAAACACGTAGGAGCTTTGAAAACTTCAGCATCAAGTGGCGTTTGCCTATTTTTATAATTTTTGAGAAAAGGGACGCCATTTAGAGACGACACTCGATGTCTATTACATGGTGTCTCTTTCTGGAAAGTAGCTGCTTGGAATGCAAGTGAGTTGCTAAAGTAGTCGAAAGTTTCTCTCTTTTTTTCGTGTTACTTTTGGACTGACCTGTATTTGGTCCTTGATCACAAATTTTGTGAAGTATCATGTAGCCATATGACGAATGTGATGTTGTAGGTGCAGCCATTTCAAGTCTACAACATTCCATAATCACCTTGTTGCCTGATCGATGAAGCTAGCACGATCACAAGTACAAGTGAGGTCACAACGTGTGCGAACTCATAAAGCATCTGAAACGTCATAATCATACGTTTAGAGCACATCCCTTTGTTGAAGATGCGGACAAAAAGAGCCATACCTTGGGGGCGAAGACGCTCCAGATAAACAAGTGAAAACGCATAAGATAAACCACGACGCTGAAGTAACAAATCACACATACATTAGCTGAGTTAGTTAGCAACAACGAGACTCCATCGTTACAAGCCACGTACGTGTAAACGGCGAAACGAAGCGTCTGATATGTGAATATCACTAGACATACTGTCCACCTCGTATTGGTCGAGCTTGGAGGGTTCTGGATCGACAACTTTGTGAGTCGTGTCGATGGTTGAACGGGCACAATGATGTTTAACCATTGAAAAAGGTTTACAAAGCATACAAGTTGACCGGAGAATACACTGACAAAGGTCAGCGTACCGACCAAACTCTGCGAATACGACGACAAACCATGATAAGACTGGCTAATGTCGATTGTGGTCACCAGGTGCGAATTACCCAGGGCAAAAAAGGCTGTTTGTGACAGCCATAATGCCAATCCCGCGACAAAAACTCCACTATGCTGAATTTCAGCGTTCTGTTCGTACTCGAGAAGCTTTGTTACCAATTCCATTTGCAGGCAAAGCAAGCAAAGCGTCGGAAAATTGTCGTTACGTTGGAGCAGGCTTACCAGAAGCCAAACGATCATTTCGACCAGCGATAGGCGCAAAGCGTGGTCAGCTAAGCCAGCAAGCAAAGTGATTAGGACAATACTCGCATACACCACGCGCGCACTCGCATCGGCATCTAGTGGCACCCACCATGTCCACGCTTCAAATCCGGCTCCCTTAACCACGGTATCGTTTAGAAGTTCCTTAACGTTGAGGCATGCTAACATGCCTGCTACAAATAGTAGTCCACTACACGCGCTTACAAAGAACTCTAAGAAAGCTCCCTTTCGCAAAGCTCCATTGGAGTGCTGTGCAGCTTTTCGTAGCACGATTCCGCATACGAAGGCAACACAGGCACTCAAAGGCAGGATACTTGATGGCAGCACGGGAGCTGTAGACAAGATTGACACCGAATCGTCTCTGGCAAACTCGTTTCCAGGTATGTTAATATCGACTTGGAGCTTGTTGAGTCGCCAGAAATTAATAACTTGGTTACGTGCGCGTAGCACTCGTGTGACAAGCAGCAATAATCCAACCATGACTAGCCCAACACTTGGACAAGACGAATTGCTAGCGTTGCTTGTCCATCTTTCCCGTCGTAATAATATGAACCCGAAAGCAATGAGTAAAGAAGTCGTCATGAAAAATGCAGTTGCGTGCTCATTTTCAATCGACGAGCTCGACGACAAGCTGACAATCTGCAATAGGCTGCCCCCACCTACAACAGCCAATAGATGATGGCTTGCCCCTCGATGAATCTTGAAGCTCGCTTCTACTTTGAGTCGCGCTGAAAGTGCGGCCACCGCGGCGGCACCACTGAAAAGCAAAACAATCAGACCAGAAAAGATCACGATCACATTGTACTCGGACCCATCACTCTGCGCAACCTTAGCTTGCAGCATCTCACAGGCTTCAAACACAGCTGTCTCAGTCTGGTGATCGATAATCACATCCTCTTCATTTAATTGGAGAATCTTGTACATCTTGCTCAGCGGTTCTTTAAATTGCTGGTCGAAACTCGCCAAAGCCGTGGGGTGAAACTTAATCCTGGCAAGAGCATATAGCTGCTGAAAGTTGAGGTATAACGCACGCAAATAGTACGAGCCGTGGCGTGCGGCAAAGCTCGATGAAGCACAGATGACGTCATCTAGCAGCAAGCCCGTGCTATAAAACGGGATAGGTAACCCGAACAGTGAAGAGATTGTTGGTACAAGGTCGACCTGATTGCGCTTTTGCCTGTACGGACGATCCGTATTAGTCTGCATGGGCTCACCATCACCACGCATAAACATCAGCAGCGCAGAGGACTCATCTACAGTAGCGCCACCATGGTTTCCAATCTCCGACATACCATGATCGCTACATAGCAAAATCAACGAAGGTCGGGCTGAGTTGTCATTCTTCATTCTTCGCTGATCTTGCTCACGTACCGAGTCCACCACAAGCTGCACCACATGATCCATTTCTTGCAGTTTCTCCTGCATTAACGTCGATCTGGGTCCGCGCAGGTGACCAACATGATCTAACCCCAAATAATGCAACACCAAGACGTCCCAATCACTGCTCTTCCCATTCTGCATGGTGGGATCTAGCTCTTCACTCAAATGTCTCGTCACATTGTAGTCCACCTCAACTGTATCTCTTGTATAAAATCCAGAAGTCCCGTCAGATCGCTTAAATGCTTTTGGAAACAGCTTGAGCCATGTATCATCGCCATAAAACACGATACGTTTCCCACTGGCTGCCAACAACGACACAAGGTTGGCATCCTCGACCAAAGCTGCTGAGTTAAAGTTCTTCAAGATATCAATAAATGCTGGAGCTTTTCCTGTTACGAGCGCCTTAAGACGAGGCATTGTCACTGTAGGTACACTGGCATGGGCGACATAACCAAGCGCTCTGCCAGACGTCACGAGTCCACTAGTAAATGGCATGTAAACGTTCAATTCCTCCTTCATTTGATGCGTATCACGGTCTTCATTGCTACGCATGGAAGCGCTACCCAGCACCATATCAGCTCGCAGCGCATCGATCAACACAATGACAAGGCGATCATAGACGGCATCGACCTCTTGCAGACCGCCGAGCTGCGTCTTGTAGTCCATATGATTGGTGGATAAAGGTCTTGAGGACTGGAAAAATACTTCATTAAGACGTAGCAACCCGCTAGAGCACAGATACGCTCCCAGACCAGTACAAAAACACAGCAGATGTACTATCAACCTCGGCGTCATGTTGCGCTCGACTAGTGCCATCACGGGACACACAATATGTACACAAATGTTTTATGGTGCTGAATCCTCAGATCTGAGACGCTCTTTTATTCTTTAGTTGATTATAAAATGCGTCCACATCATGGAACACCATTTTATGAAAAGCTGCCATTAGCAACGCGGCGATTCTTCGCAGTGACATCATTGGCACCAAATCGTGTGCGTAGTACGTTGTAGCGACAGAGTGCATCATCAATGTTAATGTACGTGCCCTGAAGGTGGCGTACACCATCGGAACATGGCGTAAACTGTCTTCTTCCATGCAAAACTCTGCGTTGGTTAAATATGACCGTTTCACCCTGTTTCAGTCGAAATTCATAGCGAAAGTTGCCACCTTCGACCAATGCATGAAAGACGCGATATGCGTCATAGTATGGTATCACATGATCGAATGGAACTCTCAATGGTCCCTCAAATGGAGGGCTCCAGTGAACTGCAATGACTTCATCACGGTGATTGAGCTGAATATGTGGACGCTGGTACTCTAAGATCGTTGCCTTTTTTCGAGCCAAATGACGCTTTTGAAATGTTGCGGGCACACGACAAAATGTCGCGAAATGTTCAGGATGATGGCGACGAAATTCTTCGACAACAGCAAACACATCTACAAATGTTGATTCACCACCTTTGACCGACTCGTCGAAGCGTAGTGCATGCAAGAATTGGAATCCAGGAGGTGACTCGTAGTATGCCAAATCCATGTGGCTCTTTAGATACACAGTAGTGTACGCAATGTTAACCTGTTCAAAAAGTAGCCACGATAATCTTAAACTTAGCTTTCGTTGCTCAAATCAATCTGTTTGCTTTGGAAACCTACAGGTTTGGGCTCTGCCACTACGTCAAAGACATCGCCGTACTGGAACCTACAAACGTCAATGAAACTCGGGTCAGTCATTGCAGGCTTTAGCAACATCCTTTTCTACCTGACACGTACGAGTGCGAGATTGGTGCAATACGCTCTGCGAGCATTTTGACAGCACCCGGTATCGACGGCGTGTTGCGAATCACCGTAAAACCATTTTCGATAACCTGGCGAAGCGCTTCGTACAGGCCCTTGTCATTACTCGTATCCATCATACGATCATACTCTGTCGAAGGAATAGGAGCATCAAGTGCTAACGGAGTCGTAGCCATATCATGAGCATGCTGGTCTAGTGCCCAGTCCGAGTAACTGTTTTGAAGCAGCCACTTGCACGAGAAGCTGGATGTGTGGTGGTCGTTCCACACGATGTTGAGCGTGTCGCCTTTCACTGCACAGCAACAAATCAAACCCACCACTTCGTCAGTACCTTGAGGCAGTGAACCAACATCAGCTTCACCACTGCATCAACGTACCGAATACTTTCTCGAAGTTTAGTTTGTCTTGATTAATCTCGGCGCAATTCACAACTCTCTGTCCCGTCGAATGGCCACATTCTGGACATTGGCACCAAGTGCGCAGGTGCAGCAGGTGAAACTTGCTCCGCTTTCCGTCTTGCCATCGCAATGTTATAAATTCGCGATGCTGCACATCCACTCCCAGAAGCTGCATCCACTTGACATCTGTTTTATAGCTTTTTGTATGTAAGAAATGCAGCCAAACTCACCTCTTGCGTGATCGACGGGTGCTCTACATCGCTAGGAATAGCCGAGAATAGACGCCACTGGAATGCACCAACTTTGTGCGGTACTGTAGCATGAAGACCACCAAAAGCTAGTTGCGTCAACAAGCGTATAACCTCATGCGAATTACAGCATACCTTGCAGTTTCCAGCTGCGTTGACGGAACGGCATTATGACCTGACGCTGCAATACAGCACCAGTAAGAACACGAGGAAGAGCTTGGGAGAAGCGCCGCATAATGAAGCCAAGAGAAGTTTAAAGTACGTGACGAGCCTATCCGAGCAGTAGACAAAACCCTTTCCTAGAAATTTGAAATATTACATTTCAGGGAGTTACATACCGAAACGCAATAGAGACAAGATGTTGATGGAAATTTCGATGCTGGACTATCATGATACAAGCACAAAATAGATATCCATGCACAAATTCCAGTGCAAAACTTTACTTCATGCTTGCATCGAAAGCTCATGCATATATGGGGAAGCTACTGCACCGAGGGTGAGTCAATTGAATGCAGACTGCTACACGCGATCAAGCGATTCAAAAACTCACAGACCTCGTTCGTGTCACGCAGTGTGAACAAAGCGTCCGTCGACATGCTCTCCTCGGTAACCAAGATGCCTACGCCTTTGCGATTGTAGTGCCCCTGGAAAAGTCGGAACGCGTCTTCGTCTGTGGTATCATCGCCGATATAAATAGTATAGACATCTTTGTGCTCGTCTAGCCCTAGCGCTTGTAAGAGCCACAACAGCGCCTTGCCTTTGTTCCAGTCAATCTTGGGCTTATACTCGTAGACCATCTTGCCCTCGCTCAATCTGTGCAGCAAAACGGTACACACGAGTCAGTTAGTACTCACCATCCAGTACCCAAACAGCATAAGCATTTGTGTCGTACTTGATACGTGAGTGCTTGTCTCGCACGTTGTACGCAAGACTTGCAATCTGTGGCTGCACCGCGGGATCAACGTTCCTGCAAAAAACACAAGCAAACTAAGAATGTAAAGCACTCAACCATCAATGCAAGCTGCAGAACTTACCTGTAGTGCAGCGACACCGAGAAAATGTTGTCTTCTACTTCCGCACCTGCAATGTTTTTGATCTGGTCTTTCAGTTCATCACGAACCCCATGCAAGTCCGAGAGAAACTGTGCCGCCACTTGGTTCTTGATGAAAGTGCCATCAGGACCTTTAATATCAAACCCATGACTACCGGCGTAGTACAACTGTGGGATGCTCACGAATTCCTGAATCTTGTGCAGCGACCTGCCCGTGATCACTCCTGTGATGAACTTCTCGCGCAGCTTTTCCAGCGTGTCCTTCATCATAGGCGACAGCATTGCCAGCGCCGGGTCGTTCACAATAGGCGTCAGCGTACCGTCGTAGTCCAGGAACACCACGAGACGGTGGTCGCAAAAGCGCGATTGCAGTTCACTAAAGTTGGCCAGCGCGTTCGCATTGGTTACAGACAGTCGACGCGGACGCTTGAGACCATCGTTCGGCTCTTTCACGGTAGTAGTAGCGGTCTTTATGGCAGCAAGGGATGTCATTGTAATTGACCGTGAGGTAATTAGCAAGTGAGCAATGCGCTAATGAAGCGGAAGGGGAGAGTGACTCGGTAAGAGCGGGAGTGGCTCATGTTTCTCAATAGAGGGTGCTCTGCTCGCTGTCGTCAGCCAGAAACTGTCGATCTGACCATTGGCTGAAAAACGGATTGGTTATATGGATGGGTTGACACGGAACTCGGGAAGCGACGCTCCTTATTTCAACTGGAGAAGAATCTGATCAAAAAGTGGCAGATGTATCAGCAATTCCGAGTGGAAAAAGGTTAAAAGTTGACGGGAATGATCCAGTAGTTAGTGATCGAGGGGTCCGAGAATTATCACGTCTTCTTCTAGAACAAAAAAGCGAGGCTGCTTTAGTCGGGGAAAAGTTGAAGGCGTTGTGATGGATGGAAGCAAACTGCTCACTGCTCGGAGACCTCCGATCTACAAGCACGACAAGAATGTCAGTAAACTTTTGAGCAGTTTGTAACTTGGTAGAAACACATCGTACAAAGGTGGGGGCAATGGTGACGACTACGAGGTCGATAAAATGTTGTGTTGTAGCTTGCTGAAGACACGATGTCAAGATTGCCGATCCACCTTCAATCATAATGCTGTTGATCCCATGCTGTTTCACCACACCTGCATAGAACGCCACGAAAAAATCCGTTAGATCTGCCAGTAGTTCTTGACAGAGAAAGTCCCAGTCGTACGCAGAGCATCCTGAAGATCGACGTGGTTACGACCGTCATCTCCAGGTGTAGTCTGGCATTCAAAGATGCTAGCCCCCATCATCTCAAACGTTTGCTTCCGCATCAAAATATCTGCAGCATACAAGTATAAATAAAGTTACTGATGCTTTACCATACACCAGCAAAAATACCCCCCCTCACCTGGATCCTGCGAGTCACGGCCATAAAGAATGACTGGTTTCTCGCACGTCGGCAACGTAAACAATTTGATGGTCGTAGGGCAACGCAAATGTGTATCAATGATAATCGGTCGTGGACTACGGCCTATATTGAACACCAGTCACTCCTTGATTCTTACAAACTCGATTCCAATTTCAGAATCAGAATCACCACTTGCCTTCCGCCAGCCGAGTATTTAGCGATGGATTGTCTGCAATTACAGTCCCTATACCGACCAGTATTCCATCGTGAAGCGTACGCAACGTGTGCGTCATCTTTAATGACGCAGGACCGCTCAACAGTGTCGGTTTTCCTATAAACAACCTCAACTCGTCAGTCTGACGACCATTTCGTCGCACTCAATTTTTTTGTTAAACACCTTTCTCGGCCGTTATTGACCCATCAATGCTTTGCGCATAGGTCAATGTCACAAAAGGCAAAGGATTCTTCTGTTTTTCTTCCACAAATGATCGATTCCGATTCTCTAGTGCCCCACATACGTAATGCCGTACTTCCATGATGACCGTATCGGTCATTACGGTAGGACTATTTTTGTTTAGGATACGTAAATAAATGAGTACTACACGGTGGCCTCTGATTGGTCGAAGCTATCAAGTTTTTGTTACATCGACACATCACCCAATTATAAAGTTGTTTGGGTAGAACAATTGGGTAGCTTCTGTCGATGTAAGAAGCACCTAATTGTGTACTGTACCTTCATCCGATCTGTGTCAAAAATACCGGTTGTATTTCTACATACAATCAAACCATGTGAAAAATACCGGTACTCTATCGAGCAAACGTATGGCTCCAAATTCCTTGACACATTGCGACGATGGCTGCAGTGCTCGTACGCAACGCGATGCACCATGCTGTGGCGTTCCTGCAGCACAAGATCTTTTCTACTCCACCGACACCGGCGCTTATTCTGGCTCCTTTGATGCTGAATGGTGCATCATCTGCGCTTTCTTCGAACCCGCTGATGGACGCGATCTGGTTGGCTGCCCCCAAGTCAAAGGTACGAGCTCTCTAGACGTCTAGTAACATTAAAAGCGTTGTATTGTGCCAATATAAAGATGATGAAGATGAAGCGATTGCTGCTGTTTGTTTATGGATATTGGAGACGGAAGAAGCATGACAATGAGGTAGAGAAGACGTAACTGACTTGTTTTGTTTGCTATTGTTCGTGCCAGGTGACACCGTCTCGCAAAAGAATTAGGAACAACCATCTGAGTAAACGTCTCAAGAACATTGTACACTTTCAGGACTGCCCTTTGTGTAATGAGAAGAAATTACGTCATCGTCTCTGCATGAGCTGCTTTAAAAAGGGCAAGTACTTTGTGTAGATAGCAGTGATCGAAACGTCGTTCATGGCAGATAAAGAGAACATCTTTACAAGTAGAAACTGGATGAATATATTGATATCTGCTTAGTAGACGTGACTACAGACACCTTTTTGCATCATCTCCGTCCTCCATTCCTACCATATCGTCTCCTTATTCGCTAAAACATCATACAGCAATTCCTTATCATTGGTCAGAAGCTGTCGGTCTCTGATCAGCACTTACGATTCACAGTGATGGACGATGTCTCCATTGGGCTTGAGATGGAGCATGAGAATGCGTCGTTTCTGAACGCGTCAGTGTCTACCACAGTAGCAGAAGAAGTGTCGCTTCCAGATCCAACACTGACACGAGCCTCTGCGAATTCGTCAAGACTAAAGTCGACCTCAGTCGCAACACCACCGATTGCATTTGCTGTAAACGCAGCAGACGATCATCTGCGTGTGTCGTACCATTGTAAAGCCACCAAATGTTTCCGTCTTCAATGGGAATCGGAAAGTAAGTGAGGCTTGTAGTAGAAGAGAAAAAGAAGGAGACTTTTAACTGATACTTACACTTGACTTTCTCTCTCTCTCTCTTAGTGAACCCGCGATGCAAGCGTCAAACTACAATCGTGATTAAGGATGCCGTGTACATCTTTGATGGCTTTTATTTATTGTGTCATAGCAATCCACCCGAGGTCCCACGGGTGAGGCGACTCATATATTGAAGTAGTTATGACTGTTGAATGACCTCTCATAGCAGCCACCTTGAGTGATGTTAATGTTACAGTTCGAGTACTCGCGTGGAGGTGTCATGTGTAAAATTCACTTTGTTCAAGAAGAGTTGCCGTCGTCTGTACGCGGAGCGACCAGCAACGAGATGGATACGGATGGCAACGAACAGGCACACCGTTCCTTCTGTGACTCGCTGTTCCTGCTTCAACGATACGTGTTCCAGCAACTACTGGGTATTCAACCAGCTCACTTGTTTGGAACCGTCTTTACAGACTTAGATCATGCTACAGGAGACGTGTCCGAGATTTGTGGCGACTACCATTTGGTACCGCGGTTTATTGCCGTGCATGAAAAACCATTGCTGCATGTTGAAGACTTGCATTCACCTAACCGTGTGGGTTATGCGGTGGGCCGGTTGTTATCGGTGCAGAAGATACTGGAATATCTCGAAACCAGCGCGAAATTTACCGTGCGCGACTTCTTTATGCAGTTCGACCACCGACAGCTAATTGGCTGCATCGTTTCCACTCGCATTAACGGAAAACCGAGCGTTTTTCGTATTGACGAACTACTGATGGATGAAGTCGACGGGATTGAAGACGGCAAATTCCCTGTCGAGAATCGTGGTGTTGTTACGAAAGATGGACGGTATCTGGTGCACGCGATTGCTCACCACAGCCAAGGCGCTTGCAACTACGATGGTGCCAAGTCGAAAAAGAGAACTCGCAAGTGGCAGGAACAAGGGCAATTTCTACAGCTATCACCGGAGGTCGAGCCTCTTTCCGAAACGATGCTGCCAGCGGAATGCCATCTTACGGGTATTCGCACAGATCTCTTTGAGGTGGGTAGCGCAATGCCCATGGTGCTGAAGTATGTACGCCACTTTGAATTGCTTACGAGTTTTGAAAAGACGGTGGGAATAAAATTCAAGGACAAGGCACTGTTACGCCAAGCTTTCACCCATGGATCATACATTGACGTAGGCATGCAAAATGTCAACACAGTTGAGGCCACTCGGTCACGCGTTCGGCTTGGGCACGTATTTGAAAATGTTGCCTCCCTCAAAAGATCGCGCAGTGTACTGCTTAATGGAGATTCGCTACTGTCTGCCAAGGTACCAGGAAATAATGCCGCACAGTTGAGGCAGGTCGCAGAAAAGCACTTGTCTGGAGATTTCAAAGAGGAATTTCACTCCCGGTATTTATGTCCATATGAACGCTTAGAATTTCTGGGAGACGCCGTTCTTGGCTTCCTTGTGGCCTCATCAGCTTTTTTGAAGTTGCCAAACGCCGATGAAGGATTCCTTCATCAGACGCGCGTTGACATTGTGAATAATAGTAACCTTGGCAAAATGGCAAAAACTGCCAACTTCGAGTCGTTGCTGTTAAGCGCATTCGATCTAGCGAAATTGAATGAAGAGTTAAAGGCAAAAATCACGGCGGACTGCTTTGAAGCGCTTCTTGGTGCGCTCTTCAAGGACCAGGGTATTGCATCGTGCCGTGCACTGCTGGGCACGCTTATGGATTTACACGACCCTGAGTTGCGCGAGTTGTGTTACCTTTCAACGGAGGAACTAATTGAAGAGGCAAAAGCATTCGTGGAGAAAGACCGAAGTGCTATTAAGAAGTGGAGTAAGTACACGCACACGAGGCTGCTGCATCGTCGCTTTGGCGCTCGTTCAGGAGTGGAGATCGCCAACACGCATTTGTGGTTGCATGCTTTCACGCATGCATCGTTCCAAAAGCCTCAAATCAATGATGACGAATTTATTGGGCACGACCCAAGCTATGAGCGCATCGAGTTTCTTGGTGACGCTGTGCTGCAGCTGCTGTCATCCGAGTTCCTTGTTGATGCTTTTCCGTACCACCAGGAACATCTTCTCACGCAAGTGCGATCATCGCTTGTGAAAAACACGAAGCTGGCGATCGTTGCGCGTAAGGCCGGATACGAGGAGTTTATTCGTTTGGGAAACGAGGTCAAGAAGAACGGGAACTTGTATGTTGAAGACGTGCTAGCCGATGTGTTTGAGGCTACTCTTGGTGCAGTGTACCTGGAAAACCCGGGCGATTTACAAAAAGTTCGTTCAATTCTAGACCAACTGCTTTTTCCGCGGCTCACAGAGGCCATCCGACGTCGCCAGTGGATGAACCCGCGCAAGGTCTTCATGTATTACATTACTCAGTGGGGTAACTCAAGTTCGCGGCGGGTTCCGTGTCAGTTTAAGAACATCAAAGTACCCGGTATAGCCACTGAAGCAGGCGTCTTGGTGCCCAAATGCAAAGATGGCGATGCGAACAAGAGCAGTAAAAGGAAAAAAGCTAACTCAAATGCCCCTCCTGGACACGCAGTGGCTCTGTACGTGAACAACTTCCAGGTAGCTCGTGCGGTTGGGCGTACCATTGCTGCAGCTCAAGACGCAGCCTGCAAGAAGGCTTTAACGCTGTACGGCGTCAAGCTATACGACGACTAAGTTGAGATGCTAGGATCGTATCGCTAGACCAACAGCAAGTGTTCCGTATGTACGAGTCGCATGATGATGAGGTGACCATCCCATTATATTAAAGTGCTAAGAGAGGTTTCTTGTTTGCATTTGTTAGCTGTTCTGCCGTTTTGTGAACGCTCGGACTGAACAGTCTAGCCTAGCTTTTCGTTTCTTCGTCAGCCTTCTTCTTGACAGCAGTCGGTGGTGGTCCAGCAGGAAGTGGTGGTTTCTTTGGTGGACGTGGAGGAGGTTTGGGCTTTGACACATCACTAGGCGTTGGTGGTGGTCCACGATCGGTTTTTCCGTCCCGATGTTGTTGACTCTTCTTCTCTCCGCCAAGCATCTTCATAGCCACAGGGTCCTTCTTTCCATAGAACCGGTCCTTGATATTCTGCTTAGCCAATGGGTCGTCCTTATCACGTGGCATTTCATGCAGATAAGGACACTCGTCACCGCGATTACACTCTCCTCGCGCGTAGAACGAGCACAAGTGCGCACGATTGCGCTTGTAGTACGGTTCCTGTCGAGCCAAACGCAGTAACGCGCTATTGGCTGAGCCTGATGCTTTACCATAAGCAGAGACTGCTCCTTCTTGCTCCAACATACGACTGTGCTGCTGCGAAAACCACTCCCGATTGGCATCACTCTCAGGCACATTAACAGCCACTTGACCATCCCCTCCGTCCTCTTTGGCCAAGAACGCGTCACGAACTTGAACTGGCAAATGATATTGTAAGTCCAAGACGCACGTTTGACATACATTCTTCATTCTAGCGCAGGTTTGACACACTTCCGTCTTCTTATAACGAGCGCGTTTGCCCGGTTTCCAGCGAAAGACTGTGAAGGGACGGGCACATATTTTACATGCGCTACCGTATGCCTCCTTCATCATACGTACGTATGGATTTTCACCTAAACAACTCTCACATAACAAGGGAAATTCTTCCGATTCCCATGCCGTCTTGGTCGAGTCCGCCTTGATCCCAAAGCCACGCTCCCCCATGACTGAAAGGCACAGACTTTTGTCGTAATTAGACGTCTGTGATTCGCTGAAAAGAAGTTTACGCAATCAATACGAGACTGCGGTAGCCTTTTGACATAGTGTAAAGGTACCCATTTGACAAAGTGTGAAGGTACCCATTTGACAAAGTGTGAAGGTACCCATTTGACAAAGTGTGAAGGTAGCCATTTGACAAAACGTGACTCAATGACTTCATTGTTGCGGCGCTCGGGGGTGGCGCGATTAGCGAATCGTAAATTGACGCAACTAGAAGGATCAGACGCATCGCGCTTCCTCCAAGCAGTACTGACCAATGACATGAAGCTATTGTCACGTTGTGGAGATGCGATATATGGTGGATTCCTAAGCACCAAAGGACGTGTGGTGGGTGACTGCAATGTACTGCAAGTCGGAGATGACGCCTTCTTATTGGACTACGATAAAGAAGTCGATGAACAGCTGATGAAGCATTTAAAGCGCTACAAGTTACGCATGAAGATTAAGATGGAGGACAAGACAGACGCTTTTGATCTCTACGCTACGCTACCCGCTATCATGGGCGAGGAGGACATTGCAATCCCATCATCAGTCAAGATACTAGATGAACTGCAGATGATTAACACTGGAGAGAATGCGATGATATATCCAGATCCACGTGGGGACTATTTTGGGGTTCGAGCTCTTCTTCCTGCGGATACTATTTGTAAGAAGAGAATTGGATTGTTGTGGCTTGCATATTGCTCATGTTTTCTATGTGTTGGATTTATTTTAGTTAATACGCCGAAGAGATACGAGACCATGGAGATGTCTGCGTATTTGGATCATCGTGTCGCTCTTGGTGTCGCAGAAGGGTGAGCCATTGAGTTCTTTGGAACTAGTACTTTGGAACGGCAGTACTGATTGTTTTTTTGTGAAGTAAGGAGCTGGTCGACGGGATCCCGCTCGAGTGCAATCTTGACTTATTGCAGGGCGTATCTTTTCGCAAAGGCTGCTATGTTGGCCAGGAGCTCACGGCTCGCACGCAATTCAAGGGTAACATCCGTAAACGGTTAGTTCCCGTTGCACTGATTCCAGCAGAGCAAGAGGATGTGGTGAAGGATCTGTCCGAACTTGCATTCAAGCCGTTCGACGCGCCATCTCACAGAGCGTTGCGTGCCTACTTGGCCGGCTCAAACGATTGGAAGGACGTGAAGGCGCCTGAAATTGGTGACAAGATCGTGGCCACCGGTGAAACAAAAGCGGTTGGAACAATTTTCAACGTTGGAAGAGACGTGAGCAGCGCGATTGCCATGATGCGTTTAGGCCATCTACTCCATTCAGCGTCTGACGATGGGGAGAGTGTGCCCACCAATAAGTTCTTGACGCAGGATGGTGCTTTTTACGCCGTTCCCTATCAACCTCCATGGTGGCCTCAGTTGAAGTTTGAGACAGGAAAGATGGTGTTATAAGGACATACAGTGGCAGCATTGGAATCTCATTCATACGCAATGGTTGGTTTTGAAGTTACTCACCTGCTAATGAAAACGAGATAGTGCAATACGTTACGACATTCGTCTTCAAGCTCACAGTTTCTACCTCAAATTTGGTGTTTCTATCACTCCAAAAGGTGATTTTCAACGTCGAATGATGTTGTTGATTTGGCACGAAGGATTGGGCACAGACGATGAGCAGGCCACGGACGACGAGCTTTGGGCACGCGTGCTCTACTCTTATGACGACGACAATGATAACAGCAATGTGTTGTCGAGTCTTCACTTGGTGCAGGGACTGCTGGCGTTTGTACGAACCTGTCGACGAAGCGGAGACGGAGATTCAATGAAAGAGACAACGACCACTGCGTGGACGCCCGAGTGGGCGAGTGTGACGCTTTCCAGACGACGGTTCTTCATCTTGGAAGTGGAGCAACAGATTTTCATGGCACTGGTACGCAGGAAGGATTGGCATTGTATACTAGAGACCATTTGTGACTCTATATGTTGCTACTGCTGCTGTAGGGTGTCCATCCCACAGTTGAGATTGTACGAGCTCGTCTAGGGCGTTTCTACCAGCTACACGTTATGCAGTGTATGTTCACATTTTGTCGTTGTTGTGACAGAAAGACCACAGACGTGGGTATGAAGCACTGCTTCGAGAGATATACGGCATGTTCGGACTGTTTCATGGAAGTATTGAGAGGTGGGGTTGCCAGCCAATAATCAAGCTGTTCACCTAGCTTTTGACTGACTTATCGCCATGCTTGGTCTTGTAGTAATTTACGGTTGCTGCCTTCAGGTGGTAGATCCGTCGAGTCGGACATGACTCCTCAGAAGAACACGGATGGAATGGATCTTTTGATGGATATCGCTGCGGTGCGAAAACGGTTGCGCAAGCTTCGACTTGCAATTGATTCGCTTACGTATCACAAGCCGCTTAATGTCACCAGCGAAGATACACAGCAGGATGAGGAATATCAGCAAGAGAAAAAGACAATGGAGGCAGAACTTGAGGCATTAATGGCGCTATCTCCGGCTACAACACTGCAAAAGAAATGTGCTGGATTCTTCCCTCCACTCCTTCAAACTCTGAACGTTCGTAGCTCGAGTGCGTTTTCGGAGTTGCAAGGCCTCGGATATTTTCCCATGGACCAGCCCACGTTCTTAGCGCTGCAAACTTTCGTAAATGGCTTTCACACCGATTTACGGTCTTCCGAATCAGATGTGGGAGCAGAAAGCATGGAGAAGTTGGCCCTGTTCTATAAGGGCAATCTTTTGTGGAGCTCTTTGGAAACCACGACAATGCATCTGCTGTACAAATTCCTCCGGCTTCGCGAAGAACGTGGAATGACCATGCTCCGTGGTGACGATAAACATGATGTAGATTATTTACATTCTGGTCTGACGCTACCAAAACATGCTGACTCCGAGTTGTGGATGGCTAACGCGTATGAGGACACCTTTCTTCCTGTATGGTCTAGCAAGCTTTCGTACACAGAATGCGATGTTGTCGCGCAAAGCAAAGATGGCCGCCCCCGCGTGCGTAAGTCAGCTTGCTCGTTGCACAAGCAGCATCCAGTCTCGCTGTCAACGTTTATATCGGCAGCATCGCCTTCCTCTGGTGATCCTGTCTCGACTCCACGTCCCGGTGTTGCTGCAGAGCCATTACAATTTTGTCCGCCTTCGCATTCTCCTGCCTCATTGACTCGATTTGGAGGAGCACGGAGGAACGAAACGAGGCCTGCTAACTTACAGAGTGCAATGAAGACGCGAGCCAGGTCCCCTTCGTTTCGAAATGCTGGTCTAATGCTGAAGAATGGCTGCTTTTCAAAGTTACTCCATGCCAATCGAGAAATGCAATCGGGAAAAGTCTGGAGGGAGATAGAAAGAGTGTGGAGTCCGCTTATCTACCTTTTAGACGGTGTATCCACCTCCATTGCAAATACCACGTCCACAATGATGGCTGCAAGGCATCGAGTAGTGGTGTGGCATGAAGCAGATCTCACAATGATCATTTTGCTCCGTCTCGACGCGACAGAGCCTGAGTCAACGGGTGCAGTGCCAACAAGTTTAAACGCGGACACGATGGAGCGTTTAAAAAACTATCTGGAGGAACAACAACGATTCGAGACCCTAGCACACCTCATTCTTGCCCGATATACCGCCACTTTTGCTTTTCAAAAGAAGTACGTACTCTTGAACCTGCAATGGATGATCGATCATACCACTTCTACTCACTTTGTGTGTCTTCAAATGTAGCATCCCTCGACTTCCTCCACTTTCTCCATTTGTATACATCAATCGTGTCAATCTTGCGTTTCGAATGCAACAAGTCCCACGACTTTTGAAAAGCAAAGAGGACGATATGTTTCCAATTCCTGATCATTTGCTCGTGCACTACTTCCCGTCGTCTACAACGGCTCTTGTTAATGATCTTCATGCAAAGTTGCATGGATCAATAAGCACTGGAAATCGAGAGATTTGCGTTCTCACACGTGATGCTGGTTGGGTATTTGCCAAGAAATCAGAGACATCACATCGTGAGCTGTACGTCTTTATCGATAGTAAAGTGGGTTCTTCCGTTTACAGTCTTACGGGTACGTTGCATTTTGCTTGTAAAAGAGGCTTACAGAGACGTGCTTAACAGTGTGTATACCTGATGTATACATGCAGATTCACTTCAGAGGCTGTTACACGACCAATTTGATAACGTCTTGTTTTAAATGCCTTAACCGTTAAGGTTAAGATTACCATGGCCAAATTTACAATAATATGGGATACTGCGATATTGTGCATGTATATTGTATATTGCAATATAATCAAAAATGGGTCTCGTTGAAGCTGAGAATAAGCAGCCCAAAATAATAATGTTGCTCGATAGACAAGTATGTTGCATTATCTTGACCATTTTCGTTTTGGACACAAAAGAAGCATGTCGGACGAGCAGCTCCAACGGGAAGAAGCTCATCTTCGTGTTGCAATTAATAATGTTTCCAATGAGACGCTAAAGGTGCACAGTTTGTCAATTGTGTATGGTCATATTGTAGTAGCTACACTTCTTCTGTCATTGAGTCCAAGATAATTAATTCTAAAATGCTGTTGCAACTGCCACAGACGCACATGTTGACGGCGTTAAATGACTTTCATACGTCCACAAGCTCAACAATATCAAGTGTATCGACTTTTGCAGCTCAGAAAGAGAGTGATAAGAATGATGCAATTGCAGTAAAGCTGAGAGAGACGTCTGTGACTGTACAAAAGCCTCGGGACGCTCTCTTCTTGGCAATCCATGCACTGTTACTTGAAGCTGGTATGAAAGACGCTTTTGATGGAAGAATTGGCACGATACGATAGTTTTACTGATGCTTTATTATGTACAGGCTATAAATTAACGGGGGCTATGGGCTCAGAGTTTGTACTGCCTGAGAACTGGGATGCTACCAGTTCAAATGGACTTTTTAAAGCAGAATACATTCATCCAAATGATGAATCAATCAAGTTTTTATTCCAGGTGGGGGAATTGCTGTTGATTATTTGTAGTGTTATGTAGTTATTTGACTGATTTTCGTGTGCTTTTTCTAATCAGGGGTTGTTTGTTGGAGACAAGTTTGAAGTGTACCTTTCGGACGACAAGGATCACATCCACTCGATTACATTAAGGTACGTACATGCTTTATAGTAGACATGGCTTACAACTTGCTGTTCACATGAAGAGCTGAGCATTGGACGTGTTTAATGAATCAGTGTGGACCAGTTTGTCGCATTAAGTGAGTCGACGTCTCCTCTTTCGGCAGCAAGCCTGCTCCAAAATCTAGAAAACCTGCGGGAGACATTTACGCCATTTGCCGAAAGTATTCAGCCTGCAATGAAGAGAAAGACTACACCAGTAGTCAGCATTCCAGGGGTTCACCCACCGGATCGTGATGATCAAGGAGATTATGGTGCTCCATCTCCAGCTCGTATCCCGCCGGTGCGCTCTCATGCCAGCGTTGATACCATTTGCCCAATGCTGAGCACTTACAACTGTCGTATCATTACATGTAGGTGGGAGAAGGTGATGCATTTCCACCGGGGCTTGGAGGTGGCAACCCAGACATGTTGGTAGGACCCGACCATCCACTCTTCGGTCACCGTGGTGACCCATCTCGGGGTCCTGTGCCTGGCGCTCGCTTTGACCCGTTCGGTCCGTCTATCGATCCTCTTGGTCCTAGTGGCTTTCACCGCCCACCATCTCGTGGCCCAGCACCGACGATGCCATTTGGAGGACCCGGACCCGATCACTTGCGCATGCCTCGCGACGACGAAATGGACCCTAACTTTGGCTTGAGTGGACGTGGCAGCCGTGGTGGGCACCCGTTTGGGTCAGACCACTCGTTTTTCTAACTGTGCAAGTGCTGTGGCATGAAAGTGATCTGACAGTAGCAAATTTTTGCATATGCAATAGCACATGCAGCGTTTCAGTTCTCTTGTATTGGAGCCTATTCATTACTGAGCATACTAACAAACCACTTGCTTTTCATATGTCCCAAATATTCAGAAAATACACGAAGCACCCATGGATCAACCTCAGACCGTCGCGTTGTCTACCTCTGAGCTCATAGCGCGCATCACCGACCCGTCACGATGCACTGACATAGCAAGTATGAATCGCCTCAACTCCTTCATTAAGTGTTGCGCAAGCGCGTCTTGTAAAGACGTTGAGCTGCTCAAACAGTTGATGAGCCATCTTTGTCAGGACAATTACAAGCACTTGACACACATGACGACGCGTCCGAGTTCCATGCATCCAAGTGGCAATTACTCACGAATGTATTACGCGTGTCTGAAGCGGAGTTCTTAGCTTCAGAGCTCGCTTTACAGTCGGTTTTAAGCTTAATGCTGACGGATCGATTCGTGTCGACCGACGTGTTGACAGCCATGGCTCAATGGCTGGTGCAGTTCAACAGCGGCAAGAGCTCGGAATCTTTGTCTGCTTGCAATTTACTGGACTCAAAGCTGACGAGTACAGAGCAGGAAGGGACGTATTTGGAGCTCATCAAGCAGATGTACGTCATGTTAAGAAACGTAGGTCTGCGGCAAAGCCTTGCTGAGATGTTGGAGAAGCTTGTGTTTACTAAGGAGCAGGCAAAGAAAGTTGTGAGGTCTGGGATGCTTCGAGCTCTTTTACAGGTGGCATTAGAGCATCCTGATGAAGTCGTCGATGCTATATTGCTACATAACTTTGATTTGGTGGGGACACGTGTCGCGTCACTGGTTTGTTTCGAAGCGGCGACATTGGAGCTGTCAAGGAAGAAAAACGCAGAGAAAGAGAATGTGGTGTTGGCTGATAGAAAGCGACAAGATGTTTGCGAACTGGTTGTGACGTTGATGCTGAGCGGTTCGTCACTTGTGTTTACCGATGCTGTTCGTATGCTGCAGTTGTTAATCAATAATGAACCGTGTCGAGCGTTGCTACTGACGATACCTAATCTGCGTGGTGCTCTGGAGAAGGCGCACACGCTGGTAAGACTGAAAGGAAGCAAGCTCTTACACGATGAGTACCTGAAAGAGCTATGTGAAGCGCAGTATGGACTTCTCGGTCCGGAGATCGATGCCTTCGAGCGCAAAAATGGGAGTGTCATTGGCTTGCTTTCAAACGATGAAGTAGTTCTACGTGATGATGATTTAGCAGGAGAACATGGTCTGGAATTGGCATTGACTTGCAAAACGCGAGGCAATGCATTTTTTCGCCGAGGAAACTATCCGGCAGCTTGCGCGTTTTATCGACGTGCTATCGCTGTGCTCAGAGCAGCGCAGCTTCAAGTAGAGACTTCGCAGCAATCCCTTTCCATCGAGAAACTATTGGCTCGCTGCACCATTGGAGCCAGCGTGCAGGTATGTTCGCACCAAGGCGACAAGTGGCAGGATGCGATGGTTTCCGATGTTAAAAACAACGGCGATTCCAGCAAAATTGAGGTGCTGTACGATGCAAGCGGCAGAGAAGACGAGTGGGTTGCCATTTCTCGCATTCGATTGCGCATGAACACGGCGCTGTTGACTGCTTTCGATGACCTAGCGGTAGATTGCTCCATGAATATGGGGAAGGCTTTTACTGCTTTAGGTGACCACGACCAAGCCGTTCAGTGCTTCTCCCATGCGCTAGCTCTCCGTGGCGGCAAGCTAATCTCTGCGCTGTACTCTCGTGGAGTAGCCAACATGGCCCGTCGTGACCTCACAGCTGCGCAACAAGATCTGTGGAATGCTAACCAACAGTGCAGAATACAACAGAACAATAGCACCAGCGGCGGCACGAGTAAAACAAACGTCAGAGATATAGAGCAGAATCGTGTCTTCCACAAACAAATTGTGGCTGCTTACAAAAAGCTTCAGCAAATGCACGCGAACAAAAAGCGCCTGGACAAGAAGGTGATCAAGCAGATGGTACAATACTTGTCTACCATCCCTGGCTTACAAGACGAGTAAAGCAATGCCGTACAGCGGAACGAAGCTGTATTCGTGTTGGTAGTTCCCATCGAATTTGGACTGGACCATGGTGTGACGCGAAAAAAGAAGCTAGAATAGCCCACATGTATCCCTTTGAGCTCGGCAAGGTCTTGGTTTATTGCACTTGATTCTATGCTGGCCCAACACGAATACCTTTTGTGGACTGCTCGTAGACACAGGTTTCCACGAGAATGCGTTGCGCTTTCGGGTGTTCAATGAAAAGCTGCAATTCTGAAATGGCGCGTTCAACATGGCCTTCTTGATTATTGAGATACGTGTACTCCTCTGCAATGTTCTGATAACGTCGCGTGATCTCTGTCATCTACAAAATCGAAACAGTAAAAACGCAGTCATCAGAAATTTCCAAAATGTCTGCTCACAGGACAAAAAAATAGACAGAACTCGTACCCTCACTTTCGACGGCGTGCGATAAAATGCTCTCTTTAGTGCGTCAATTTCAAAAAACGCATTGGCCAGAGGATCCATTTTTTGCTGCTCCTCTGATTCATCTTCATCGCCACGCCAAAACCGCGAGACGGATGTAGCAACTTTACCAAGTTTACCGATCAACTTTGTCGACATTTCCTTGGCTTTTTCCGATTGATCCGTACTCAAAAATGGCAGTAATTGTGCCGCCAATCCAGCTGCTCCAGCTAATGGTTGGTCATATCCACGTTTAGTCGAGCTAGTCTCTCCAATCATGATCCGTAAATCTTTTACAATTTCGTCCGTGTACTGACTCAAAAACGTTCGACACGGTAACATCCTGTCTTTGAAAAATAACGTCAATGACTTGCCTCGCTGTGGAGTAATGCGCACGACATCTTGCAGTGAAATCAGGTCTCCGACATACAAAAACTCGTCATCTTTCTGTGCTGCTGCTTCTTTCAATGGCATGAGCAGAGCAATTTTTCCTGTCTGTAACAACATTGGTGTTTGCTTCAATGTAGACGTGATAGGGTCCATCTCTTGACATGGGTACACTGCTCCACGGACGTCCCTTTTACGCATTTTCATGGGCTTTTTTACTCTCAACTGACCATTGTTGTACCCATGTTGCGCAAGCGAATTTTTCCTTGGTATCGTAACGGACTTAGTTGGCGCTGGGTCATTTTGCTGCACCAATTGAAAAAGCTCATGTAATAACATCCTTAAGGTTGTCGATGGACTCCAGTGCTCTAATAAAGGTAGCTGGAGCAAAAAAATGGGTTCTCTTCCTTCTGATTTGGGTAATTTTCGTTTACGGAGTCCAGTGGGCAAATACAAAGCACCGTGTCGAATTTCTACTTCTGGGGCTCGAAATGGGTACTGTTCGTGACCTTTGGTTACTTGGTTTTCATAAAAGGGCATCCGGATGACCAAATCTGTCAATGGGACCAAGAAAAGGGCATCCGAACCGTCAACAAATGGGACAAAACAGTGAAACTCGCCTTCGCACAACCCTCGGGTCTCTGACACGTACGCGCGTCGCAGTGTGACCCCATGAGGCAGTGCACCATCCATGCGACACTTTTCAAGCTCACGATGTACGCGAGTGGACCAGATATGGCGTTGCCGCTTTGGAGAAGACGAAGACGATGGCGGAGATGTCGTCTCCATTATTATCAACCTTTGCGAATATGGGTAATGAAAAGGGAGAGATTACAATAACGACTGATGATTGGTAATAACTCAAAATAGCATCATCTGATTGGGTATTAGAATGTGAGATGGAAACAAAATAGGCACAATGGAAACAAAAATAGGTACCAAATAAAATCGAGCGACTATCTGATTCCTATGTAATCAGTCCTTCCATTCCAAGACCATGTCTTCTAGTTCTTGTTCTTCATGCTTTTTTTGCTCTTCGTAGTCATTTCTATTCTTCTTCTTCTTCGTCATTCTCAAGTCCTTTAAACAACGTCGTCTTGTCACGTCGTAAATGGTTCAATTCATCAATAATCGATGTCAATAATTGATTCTTGTCATCCATTTTCAATCGTCCATTGTTCATCATTGACATCTTCATAATCTCCAATGCCTCCTTATCCGGATGATCCGCTGGGATCGCAACGTCCATTTCCGGTAGCTTAATATCATCAATGTGGCCCGTATGGCCCATCCGACTATAAGCTTCCTTCAAAATCTTGTCTAATTTCTCGCCACTGGGTGGTTCACTTGGAATATTAAGCAAATCCAAAAACAAATCGGATGAGCCCGTAGTAGACGGCCACGACTTGTCGTCCATCATTGCAGCAGGTTCCTCCCACTCGCGATGAGAGTCTTCAGTGTCCACATTGTCTGGATTGAATTCCCGATAACCACGTTCACCCGTCGTCTCCATATATTCTCTATACGGGTCGTATAAATCGCCTGATTCTTCGTCGTTGCTCTCTTTGGGCATCATGTCGTCCGGATTACGACGACGACGGCCACGAAACGACTCGTCATCGTCATCATGGTGACGTGTTCGAAAGGCAAAGCTGCGCGTCATCACACAAGTCTGCATCTGCGACACGCGACGAGTTGCCTGCTTTGCAGCAGCTTTCCAGACAAGCGCCAACACCATCACGATCAAACTCTCTATCTGTGCCAGCCATCTCCCAAGCCTCTCATCAGGCTGATGTGGTGTACATCAACATGGTGGAACTTACATCAACTGAAGCATTTTTTTGGCTACAATTTTGAAGGTTATGGGTTCATCATGAGCGGCATACAAAGCTAACAATGTGATACACTACAGGGCTCTAATCATCACGCTCGTAACAGTTCTTCTGGTTGTACAGGGCAGACATGTGCAGACAACGTGCTGCTGTCAATAGTAAAGTTTAAGTGTGCTGTGGATCCAATTGTAGCCTTGACGGGCTGAGCTGGACATGCTGCTGCTTCAATCAAGCGCAGTCGCTGGAGGCCTGAGACCACATGAAAACTTGTCAACAGGGTAAAGTCAGCACAATGAGTCGACGGCCTTGAGTCAACTTCCTGCTGACGACCTAATTGACCAGAAGATCGGTTGATCAAAGCACTGCCACCTGCAATCATGACGTCTTTGTCAAAAAGTCATTTTCCGCTTCAAGACGTCAGTGCATTTGCTCGTGCCCATGACTCGAATTGTGGTCGCACGATTCCCATTAACCCACTTATGGAATCTTGGGATGCAACAAAGATTGGCGTGAAAAACAGGATCTGCCAGTGTAAAATCTTGCCGAAAGATATCAAGAACGGCCGTTTGAATATCTGATGGCCCAGAAAAATGAAGGCAGCATCATACCACATAAACTTACATGCGCTTGGCAATACGGTAGTGATGCAACCTCACGGCAGATTGGTGCGCTACTAAATACTCCAAAAGGGTTTTGTTGTCGTTCCACGAGGGTTTAATGGCCCGCAGAGTGACAAGAGGAAGCATTCCGTTATATTTTGGTCTCCAAGGTATCCTCCGACAACAAGCTATTCATCATTTCCAAAAAAAGTACACTCCAGCTTGCTGTCGCGCGACGATATGGCTACAACCACATCGTCTCCACTCTAAATCCGCCACTGCCCACCTATGAAAAAATTGCAAGAAGTCGACCTGGCTCCACATGCGAGCGACGAAGGAATTTACAGGCGGCTAGAAGCCACCCGCCAACTGCTGATTCATTTGAGTCGAGACTCAATGCTTACATGTTTGTATGCTTTCTTTTCCCTTTCCGGAGAGTTGGCGGTGTGTCTGTTTCTGCGCAATTATGCCGTCATAAGCCGATCAAGCCGCCGCTGCTCTCGCGTCATCACCTCCTGGCGGAAGTATGCGGCCAGAAACTTGTTGCTGCTTAAAAAACTACGGAAGGTTTCCCCACCAATTTCGACCACTTTTACGGGCTGTGTACATCGCAAGCTCGAGTGACGAGTAAGAATCTTGCAAGCTTGTGTTTGACCTGATACACCCAGCGGAAAGTAATCTCCTGGGTGCAGTTCTTCCACGACAACCCCCTCCTTTGCTTTCAGCACTTCTACTTTACCATCCAGTAGGATAAACACCGAGTCGCACGGATCGCCTTCCTTGTAGATGAATTCACCGGTGTCGAGAGATCGCAGTTTTACAGACCCCTTTGCAGCTTCTACGCACCCAAGCAAGTGTTGTTGGACGTGGCGGTGCGCGGTTTTCTCAAGACGGTTGTTGATTGACTCGTAGGTACCCTTTAGATTCAAGAAGTCATCCGCCACAAGCTGCAAAACTTTACATGGGGTATTGCTGCCCTTAGCACAACGGTAGGTGGCGATGCGAGGCAGGAAGCGTCCATCAGGGCGCACCAATTCAATCTCACCGAAAAAGGTCCCCTTTGGCAAACACCTGAGCTTCATTTCCTCGTACCCCGACGCGGTGGGTCGCGTTTGGATAGAGCTTGGCCGTGAGGCGCTTGACACCAACCCTGTACAGCTTTCAGAGTGTGACGTGCTTGTAATGGGAGTATCATCATCTGTCTTACTGGTGGGTATAGATTTCTTGATCGGGTTCTTGCAAGAAACTTCAACCTCACCATCCAACAGTAAGTACACGTTATGTGCTCCAGCGTGTCCTTCGCGAATGATGGCCTCTCCTGGGCGATAGGTAGCAGATCGCAGCGTAGAAATGGTCATCTTCACGTTGTCATAATCGACCGACTCTACAGAAGACGCGTTTTGTTCAGGATCACCGCTAGCCCCTACGAGCATCTCATTCAGCTCGTTCTCGCTCATATGTTTGCCCAAGCTCTCGCTGACACGCGCAAGATCATTTTTGGAAATGAATCCTTTTCCCTCTTTGTCAAAAAAATGCAAAGTGGAAAGAAGCGCATTGGTTTTCTCGTTCAGCGCCTCGACGCTGGAACTAAGCCCCCAAGCAAAGCTACGCTTTACACTTTCCAGCTCTTGGTTGTCATCCTCGTTCATTGCGTCAATGAGAAGAACGGCCAGAATACTTGCACGTAAACGACGACGACCTCTTTGAAATTTTTCAAGCAGCTCAGCAGAATTTTCCATTGGTTCAGGGCTAACCTGGGATTGGTTACGCAACCAGGGATGCTGAAGTGCCTCCTCCGCGCTTATACGTTTATTAGGATCAATTTCCAGTAGCTTCTGGATCAAATCACGGGCAGATGGCGAGATCGATTGCCACGCACGGGACTGCGTTCGATATTTTCCTTTGAGGATTCGCTTTCGGATCTACATAAGCAAACGCGCAGACTAATCAAACTACATCACATGTCACAGGAGACCACACAGTTCTTCTTACCTCTTCGTCAGGCAAGTTGTTATACGTGTCGAATGGATGGGAACCACACAGCAAGATGTACAGCACAATGCCTAGTGCAAACATGTCGGATTTAGGTCCAAATTTGATCGCGTCAGGGCCTGCTTGAGCATCAAAATCTTCATCGGTATCGTCCAGCTGTATTGCTTCTCCAGTGGCTCTAGCTTTCTTACGTTCATCCCTAGTATTCCTCCTATGAATCAGAGCACCATGCTCCAGCGTCTCTGGCGCTGCATAGACCACCGTCCCCATTAAATGCGAGTCGTAAAAGAACCGCTCACCCATACGAAAAGATACACCGAAATCCACAAGACACATGCGACCTTCATGTAGCAAAATGTTCTCGGGCTTTATATCTCCATGTACGATTCCCTTGCGATGCAAGTACTGTAATGCATCACAGAGCTGTCGAATCGTGTCGCTCGCCTGTCGCTCGGAATAAGCTCCATTGGCTACCAAATGGTCGAAAAGCTCTCCACCTTGAGCCAACTCCTGCACAATGAACCAGCAGTCCTCGGTCTCGTACGTGCCTCTCAGCTGCAAGATGTTTGGATGGCGCCCACCGACTCGAAGCACGTCTACCTCACTCCAGAACTCACTGGCAGACGTCTCACTCTTGCTTAGCATCTTGACAGCCACCATTTCTCCTGTACGTTTGTCCACACCCTTCTGCACGACACAGTAGCCTCCTTCACCCACCACCTCATCTAAGATCTCGTACTCATCGTGAATATTGCCGCCACGTCGGATTTTTTGAGTCATTGCGCTCTCCATGGCCGCGTTTGAATCCTGTTCTAACGACATGTGGGCAAGTATGAAACCGCTTATTGTGGCGCCTAAAAGTGCAACTTCGTGCCACATTTTGGTAGCACGCTTTCCCCCATTATTGCAACTATTAGAAGCTGCTAAAGTGCGCTGAAAACCACTTGAAATGATGTTACATTGCTCTGTAAACTTTCTTGACGCTCCTGGTCCACGAGTACCATCATAGCTTCGGGAGAATATCAAACGCGGTCGTCTGCTGTCCAGCGAGCGTCGACACAGCGTCAAGAATAATTTCAAACGCAAAGAAGATTGAGCCATGAGCAATGAAGAGATAGCTCAATGGCGTGGAGAACTAAGAGAGAGAAAGAGAAGGCAGGATATCGACTTGGTCCTCCAATTCCGAAGGAAAATGCGTTTTAAATGAGATTTGGAGCGACGTAAAAGACAACAAATGGGTCCTTTTTGACTTGGTTTTTGTATTCGAAGCATCACGGACCTAATATTCAGCTTAGACTCGAATAGAATCATGTCTTTTCGTGATGATCTATCGAGCTGCGAGTGTCGCTGTCATGTGGACAGACATGCCAAACAATAATAATAGGGATTGCAAGTGTTTTAGCGAGTATATGATGAGTGATGAAAGCACAGCTCCCTCTCATTGACTCTTTCCGGATCCGAAATGCCAACACGGCCGTTTCAAAACCAGTCTCTTTGGAAACTGTAACCAAGACCACCTCGATTGTTTTCGGCCGACTGGTGTGAAAGCTGATTGATTCCGAAATACTTGCCAGTGTTTCAGAAGACCAGAGGCGGATCCAAATATTAATCATCGGGTTGTAAGACGATTGATGTTGCAGTGGTCTTGTTATCGACACTTCTCATAACTGACCTAGAGCTCTTTCCAAAACGATAGATCGACCACTAAGACACCATCAATGTTACCTCTACGGCTGCCATCATGAGTTCATTGGTTGCACCTACGACCATCGCTGCCGGCTCTGCTCGAATACTTTTCCTGGACACGCGAGTCGCGTGTTTAGTACGACGATCTTAGTCTTCAAGAATAGCTGGATAGCATTTGACATACTTTAGTGTCAGCAAGAAAGGTAATTCATGGTTACGCAGCAATGAGTCGTCTTTTTCACCTTCAATCGTGTATCTGACGCCTACAGTTCGTTCACCTTTATCACACTGCCACGCAGCAACTGCCGCATCAACCAACTCGTCGAACAATTACGTTCGTCGTCCGACTGGCGCCAGGACCAAAAGAGTAATTCCGAGTGAGCTTTGCTGAACGCTTCAGTTTGCGTCGACGCAAACGGTTCTTGTCGGAAAGGCACACTCTTAAGAACTCAAACTTCACTCGACGATGAGAAGCTAATTTCCACCCCACAAAGAGACTTGATCACCATATCGGCGGATAGCTTACAGCACATGATCGCGATTCTGGCCTTCGTAGTCTCAGATGAAATAGGGGTGCCATTCGTGCCATAACTTTGGGTAGCGCATGCAGTCCTACATCAACGAAGATATCTGCTCTACTTACAGCGGGGCCACGATTATCACACAGTCGTTCCCAGCTGCACGAATCTCAGAGTATGCACGCTTGTAGTAGGCTTGAAGTACACGTTGTTCTGTTGGAGCCTCAGGTTCATTGAGAAGACCAACGTCAGTAAAGGCTAGACCGTCGCGATATCGTGAAGTCAGGAACTTAGCCATATATATCGTATTATCTGCACGTTCTAGGCTGATGTCGAGCCCAAAGCCGTGTGTCTTTATGCCTCAAGAGTTTGACAGCATAGGCGGTGGAACCATACATCCAATATCATTTCAAAGCAATAAGGTACAACATACACGTGTAGGCACTTTTACGTGGCTATTAACAGGAGTGTTCCCTTCATTGAACTGTTGAAACCTGTCTCACTTAACACCTGGAGTTCTTGCATTATCTTTAAATGGCTTTCGCTGGAATTGTCTGTCAAAAACAGAATAAAACAAGCACAAATTACTTGGAAATTTTACTTTAAGATGCCCCCCAAGCGTCCCTTCGTCGCGTTGCAGGACCGCTTTGTGAGCTCCCGGGCGGTGGTTTGCTGTCCAACCATGGACCTCATTGCAGTACTCACCCTTGATCACCATCTCGTCGTCCACGTGCGTCCCTGCAGCTCTAGCTAAAGAAAATAGACGTTATATGCGAATTATTCTCTAACAAAACCATTGAATTCTTTTATTTTTAGCGGACAACATCCTGGCAAAAGTTGCTACACATTAAACCATCCGATGTCAGCTTTAAGATGATGACATTAGTGTGGAGACCTGATGGGCTGCAACTTGCAGTCGGGTGTGACGACGGCGACGTGGTAATTTTTGAGATTGAGTCCGGAATAAGTCTACCTGACAGACGCAACAGCTTTCGCCATGAACATTGCATTACTGCGATGCACTGGGCTCAGATCACTAAAGCTGGGGCTTCACACGAAACCCAGGGTGCCGACAAACGACATCATCGAAAGGTTCCCGGGGCTTTCGGTGATGTCTGGAGCTCTCGTGACGCGATATCCCAGTCTAAGATCCAGTTTAAAGGCCGAGCATCAAGGTTTCTTGCGGTCAACGGTGAAACTGCTAGACATGATACCCTGCTAGTTACTGCGGACGAACGAGGTTTTATTGCACTGTGGTGGATGGGCAGGGTGCTCCTTACTCGTATCGACGTGAGGAAACACTTTGGCGAAGAAGAGTTCCGGATATTAGACTCGGTGGGGCATCAACAAGGTGATACCGGGGGCTTCCGTGTTGAGCAAGTAAATTTTGCGACAGATGTGTCGCTTTTCTTCGTTCTGCTTGTGTTCTTCCGTGGTGGTAGCGTACAAGTTGACAACACGATAGATGGAGAGGTAGAGTCGAAGTTGTATCGGATATTGGCCTTGGATATGACAGCTATTCAGCATATCCACGAAGATGTGGCACTTGTGGCAAGCACAGTAGATTGCGTGCACACACTGCTTCATCAAATTACTACTTACGGCAGACAAATGAGCACCGAATGGAAAAATGCAACGCGCATTTTTGAGCTGAAGATGGGGCTCATCGGGCCGCTCTATGAAAAATACGCCTGTGAGGATTTGCCGCAAGAAGATATGTTGTCGGTGTTGGTGACCGGTATCACTCCGCCTGCGCTGGCCCAGTATTTTGCTCAAGATATTCAAGAGATGGCAAGTAGTCAACATTTTTCTTGCTGGAACTAAAACGTAACTGAATTGTTTTCATTGTTTCGACTGTGTGACTGACAATAGAGCGTGCATCGAATGCAGAAAGCTCTATTCAGTGGCTGCGACTCACTTAGAACACTTGCTGAAGGCAAGTTGAAGCACGCTTTGGTGAACGTATTGTTTCTTTTCTCGGAGTTGAGCGGTCATGCCAAGTGGAATACTCAAAACTATGCAACTACTCTGGGAATCACTGTTGGTGCCCTTGATGACCTCGTCCAGGCAACACAAGATGCTCTCATTGATGTGGAAGCGCTTATATTAGCAATACACGAAACTCTTCAGGATTTTGCGCTGTTTTTCCAGTGGCTTATAGAACGTATCCGCATTCACACAAACTCGAATCAATTGAGAGGGGAAACACGTTCGACAGCAATTGGTGGTCGCGACTGTGGAAATCCAAGTAGCTCAAAATCGCTTCTCAATTTACGGCGCCTGTGCGATTTCTTACAACGTGCTGCAGAAGCTGCTCAACGGTTTCGACAGCAACAACCAAATCAAAGTGTGTACAAAGTTGAAACGACGTTTGGAAACTTAGTATCTCTCCAGCTTTCGGCGCGGCCAATTCCACAGAAAGGTAGAGTAGGTGCGGGATTCTTTACCCTCATTCAATGTATCCAAGATCAGTGGTCAGCCATGTTGGACGCGGTGGCAAAAACACTGGCGCAGACGACTAGACGCGAGAAGAGTGGATGTTTTACTATTGGTAGCACCAGCAACGCTGTCGAGGAATGTCATATTCATTTTCGGCAGCCATTTATCAAACCGAGACCAGAAGAGATTGCTAAGAACGAGGATCAGAGTGATGACGACGAAAGTGATGATGAAACGATTGATTGGAACTCTCTCAAACATTACGGGCACAAGCGGGAAGATCAGGCCTATTGCAGTACGATCATGGTCGGGTTTCGATTACAATCAGGTGTTCTACTGCTTCTGCGTGCACTTCAACGTGTGGATTTGCTTCAGCTTCGACACAAATCTCCCTCGCGCTTGATATGGGATACTGCAGTAATAAACTTTTCGTGTAGACCTCCTGCGGGTGCTGTTATCTGCAGAACCTTTGACTTTTACGGAGATGGGTCGCCAGACAAGCCAGAACGGCTTGCATTCGTGCTGGACCGCGCAGCTGATGGTCAAGTGCACCAAGGTACGTGTTGCGTAATAGCACGGGGAGAGTTGTCGTGTCTTTGGACACGAACGAAGCACCAACAATTTGTTTTTTCTTTATCTGTAGAGTGGTTGTATCTCCAGCCATACGACAACGTTGAGTTTACACATGCAAATTCCTCTGTCTCATTTGAGGTAAGTAAGCCCTGTGCTGCAGATGCCAAAACCGTTGTTGTACTTATAAGATTTTGCACATGTACTGATTGTAGACGATCATAGCCCAGAGCGTCACTCACACCTTTACACTTGACGATGCTCGAGGACGAGCCGTTGCGTCGTCTTCAGCTCCCTCGCACTCCGGGAAAACGGCAACATCTGTGATCTCGGCTGCATCGAGAGGGGTTTTGTGCGTCATCTTCCTACCTAATCGCTTAGCTGTCTTCGATGCAGAAGACTGCGAAGACGATGACAGCGAATACGATGACAGCGTTAGTGACAATTAAACTTCCAGCAATAAAGACAAGGATAGCACCTCCTTCACTGAATAATACCTCAATTGGTCAACGTTTAGCTCTTGTATTTATTGTGATGCCTCCGTTGAATTCAGTACTCGTCAATGCTTGCCAGCTTGGCTCTTTATTGCCGAGCTGCAACATTTTTGTGTCCAACACCCGATCGCTCGTACTGCTCCTTCTTGGTGTGCTTTTAATATTAGTGTCTTTAGCATGCCGGGGACGTTTAATGTTGTAGACGGGCACTTCTACGAAGTTGCCTCGTGCTACTAGCACACACCTTCAGCACAAGCGAGGAAGCGGTGAGACCGTCTTACCTTCGCGTGCGAGGGTGGTTATGCGGTTGGTCGACTGCTTGAGCAGTCGTACCACCAGTTGCCTCTCACTTAAGAGAGAGTGCAACGAACTGTTAAAACAAGAAGTCACCGGCGTCACGCAAAAGCTTTTAGAGCTTCTCGTGCGCGGTGCTTCGGTGTTAGCAAATTCGAGACTGAGCTATATTTAATGAATTATAATTAAACTAGATGCCCTGTTACACTTTTGACCTGTAAATTAATCATTTTGCACTAAACAATTAGGGTAAAGATGAATAAGAAGGTTAATGTTTACTCGTCGATCCGTAAATGTTTCATTGATCACCCGTCGTTCTAACAATACGAAGTAGTATATATAGGCATCTTAAACGTAGCAATTTGCTAGGGTGTAAAGCTGTTGTTCCGACGAAAATTGCGCATGAAGCATATGCTGGTAGTATATAGAGGCATCCTAAAAAAACGCAACGCTTCGCTTGGAAGTGTGCCCGTCGTTTCGACGGTAAACGCGCGCGGACCGAACATAAAAATTAACTTTCTAGAAAAAGAACTGAATGTTGGTGTGTTAAACAGCTTTTTAAGCTTCTTTTAGCCAAAGCGCAGTGTAACAGGGTACCTAGTTACACGTAAACATTAAGTAATATACTTAATGTTTGGTCTAAAAGTATCCATGATTACTTTTGACCAGTCACTTGGGTGCGATACACAAATGTGATCCACCCTCGTGAATGTGATATCCATTAATGGATTCACATGAGAAGGGATGACGCTAGTTGAAGCTAGGCATCGCGACGTCTCAGAAGGACGCCAGTTGCGATCTTAAATCTAGATTTAAGATCATGCGACAGGATACGCTTCTAAAGAGTCGCGTATCCGATCTATCTATATATATATATATATAGCCAATCAGTAGTTAAAACATATATTTAGTTATAATTTATTAAATACATCTCAGTCTCGAATTTGCTTAACACCGAAGCACCACGCACGAGAAGCTGAAAAGCTTCTACGTGACGTCGGTGCCTTCTTGTTTTAGACAGTTCGTTGCACTCTCGCTTAAGCGAGAGACAACTGGTGGTACGACTGCTTAAGCAGTCGACCAACCTCCCAACCACCCTCGCACGCGAAGGTAAGACGGTATAACCGCTTCCTCGCTTGTGCATAAGGTGTGTGCTCGTAGTACGAGGCAACTTCATAGAAGTGCCCGTCTACACGCAGCTTGTCGATGCTCCCCGTCGTTTCGACGCATAGGTGCGCGAATTCTCCGCTAATAGTATATTGGCCTGTCATTTACCGTAGAATATTTTAAGTGAAAATAATTGATATAAGTATTGAAAGCCAATGTGTAGGAAGGTCAGTGTGTATCTGTCGTTTCAACGGACATGGAGAGTGAAGTCTACTTTTTCAATATTCGTACCCATCTTTTCACTTTAGCATACTTGGCTGACTCAGATAAAATAATAGGTAATATTCAATACATTTGGGTCACTTCGCTTATTGGATTTAAATCCAGTTCAACCTAGTGACAACGCTTGATCTTACCACATTTACTGTATATCAAAGCGCTGATTTCATGTTTTTTAAAGGAATCTATAGTATGTGCCTAATCTAGTATTTCAAGAAAAGCTGTGTTTAATATAGCAACATAACGATGGGAATGAAGGTCAACGTGTACCCATCGTTTCGTCGATGTATTATGTAAAGAACAGACACACCAAAAAACTATATTCAGTTAGGGAAATCTATTCATGTTATTATAGATGCAAAAATGCAAAATCAGCCAATCCAAAATAGCCGATAATGCAGTATTAGCCAATCCAAAATTAGTTAATAATGCATAATTAGCCAATACGAATGCCGGAAAAGGAGCACTACGGTACGGTATTCGGTAACACCGTATCTTATCGATTGGGATTCGATAAATCACTAACGCTGTATTAAGTACATCATACACAGATGTTTAGACGATACGTCGTCCAATAGCAAAGTCTGCATATAATAATTACTATTATAGTAATTAATCTAGTGTAGTGTACTTAGAGTAGGACTATTCATAAAAATCTTAAAGCATAAATAAAATCAGTTCTTCTTTTGAGTTTAAGATCGCAAGTCGTTCTGACTTGTTCTCTTGTGCACTTCGTGCGAAGGTTCATTGAACCCCTAAGTTTCTAGCTTGTTATTGCACTCTGTGCGTTGGTTCTCTGAAACTTAAGCTTATTGCTTGCTGACTAAAAGTCTCTCCTACTTCCTTAGAGCAGGGTGACTTTAAGTCGTTTAATTAGTTCCTTAGAACTAAGTGGCTTTTAGCCTTAACTCTATTTGTTCTCTAGAACTAAGAGGCTTCCAGCCGAAAGTCTTCCTCTGGCTAAAGAGCTGTGCAGCTCCGCTACACTTGGTAGCACTTGTAGTCAATCCTACACCTGATTCTTTAAAGACTGACCCTCTGTGAGGATGGAGAGTCAAAATCTACCTCTCTGAGGCGCAACGACTCGCCTTAGATAAACTACCGGCGTTCGTCGGGCCTGATCAAATCGAGGCCCTTTTGGCCCAAGGCTCCGAGGTTCTAAATGCTCGTCTTAAAGCCTATATGCGTTATGAAGCAATGCTCTTCGGGCAGGTCCATGACCAGGCAGCGTCAGCTGCGCCTACACAGTACATTCCGGTACCTGTGCCCGATGCAGAGCCAAAGGCTCGCCCACTTGTTTTAAATGTAAAGACCTTCGAGGGGAAGGAGGGAAAAAATCTTCTCCTCTGGATCCGAGAAGTTGAAATGGCAATGGATGCCGCCATGCTTGTGTCAGATAAGCAACGAGTTGTCTTGGCCATTTCGAAGCTCGGTGGAAGAGCTAAAGAGTGGGCTCTAACGAGCGATGTCTCTGTAAATGCTGCATTTTTCACATGGGAAATGCTTTAAAAGCAATTAACTTGTGTGTTTGCACCGCCTAATCAGGCTTATCGTGTGCGCTCACGTTTCTTAGCTACCCGACAGGGTAAGAAAGAATTATCGGACTATGTCCAAGAGTTGAGAACTCTCATTGCTGCTATGCAGCAGGACCCACTGGCAGAGGAAGTCCGAGTAACCATATTTATGGAAGGACTTCGCACTGGGTCGCCAGGACGGAAGTTTTCCGTGTCCAGCCTTCGACTTTCGAGGAAGCAGTAAGCATAGCGTTTAACGCTGAATTTAATTTTAAATCTGCTCGATATGGTCTGCACTGGTATCAATCAAATACCTCTAATCGGGCGGAACCCATGGATCTCAGTCAAGATGAAGAAGCTGAGTTACAAGCTGCTGAGCAGCAAGGTAACATCCGTAAATGTTATATGTCCGGAAGCACTAGGCATCTCCGCCCTAGCTGTCCGTTGCGAAAGCAACGTTCAAATCGGCAAAGCCGAAACCCTGCTCCTAGCCAAAAGGCGAGCACCGCAGGGGAAATCGTCAACTTCCAGTAGGCGCGGGGCGCCCTACTGGGAAAGAACTAAGGTCTATTGGATCTTTAGGAGGTAAAGGTAAACAGGGCTTTGCCCCAGGTGGTTCTGTGGATGCTCCCATAGAACAAGATTACAAGCCAGGCTTGTTGGTTGTGTCGGCAACTGCTAAGGGTTTTGAGAAACCATGGTAAATTTTAATTGACTCAGGGGCGTCAGGTAATTATGTCCGACGTCGTTCCCTTGAAGGGAGTCAGCTGTATGATGAGGCGCTAGAAGCGCAAGAGGGTGACAGTATAACCGTGCGTCTCGCAACAGGTGTACGTGTCACCGTTCTTAAAGTTCCGTTGAACTTAGTTGTGAAGTTCTTAGACTTCAATAGCGTTGAACGCTGTCTTGTCCTAGATTTGGACTCGAGATATGATCTCATTCTCGGTATGGCCTGGCTGGAACGCCATGAGCCGTGGATCGATTGGAGATCCAAAACTTTAGGCGCAACGCGCAATGTTCCTAGCGAAGCTTTGGAGATTCATGAACCCACCTTCGCTAGGAGACAAAAATCTATTGGCGCGAGCCATTAACTGATTCAGTTAGTGTGCTGGACATTGGAGTGTCTGAGTTGATAAACTATGATGTCAACAATAATAGTGTCGAGCAGAGCTCAGTGACACTTAGTGGAACGGCACGTACTCCGTTGAGTGATACTCAAAGTAATATTGAGACACTGGATGTCGGTAATGACATCGGCTCTCGTATAGAGCAAGTTAAAGTCGATGACCTTGTTAGTGATATTGGCTGTAAATGCGATTCACTGGATGTCGGTAATGACATCGGATAGAGCAAGTGAAGGTTGATGACCTTGTTAGTGATATTGGCTGTGAATGCGATTCACTGGATGTCGGTAATGACATCGGCTCTCGTATAGAGTAAGTGAAGGTCGATGACCTTGTTAGTGAGGTCACTGGTACTAGTGAACCACTGGATGTCGGTAATGACATCGGCCCTCGCATAGGGCAGGTAAATGACAAGGGGTCTGTTGACCTTGGGGATGATAATATCCCAAGTACTTTGAGAGTACGGTCTCGTCAATGAGACGGCAGCGTCGCCAGATGGCGGCTGCGAGACGCAAAGCGTCTGTTTTATCGCATAGTAATGTCAGTGACCAGTTGTACACCCTAGTCAACGGAGTGACAGGTGATGTAGATGGTGAGGTTGACCTTGAGGTCCACACACCATTAAATGATTTCTTGA